CATTGCAATTGAAGGGAAGACATACACCATGAACCTGACACAGAAGTAGGTGACCTCCATTATTTTATCAACTGTCTTTGTTCTATAATTATTGCTTGTAATTATCTAGGATGTAGATGGGCTGCAATTGAAAGTGTCTCCAGTTCATTTTTCTCTTATTTATGTTTTTTGTTTTGTTATTGTTGTTGTTTTGAGCAGAGTCTCACTACGTAGTCCAGGCCAATCTCTCACTCACAATCCTCCTGCCTTAGCCTCCCCAGTGCTGGGATTATAGGCATCTGCCACCATGCCCCATTTCATTGTTCTCTTTGTGCTTTAAAAAGACCCTGTACATCTCTATAACAAAACCTAGACCTTGAATCCATGGTGCATGCACCCAGCATCCTTGTTCTCAGTAGCATCAAATTTGTTTTTGGCTACCTGTAAGGTTTCATAAAGGAATAAATTTTGATAATTTTCTATCTTTCTGAAAACACAAATACAGCTTGCTTTCATGTTTGCTTATATTCAACCTATATTTGAAGGATAATAACATATTTTTGTATGGTCTAAATTATGAAATTTTTTTTAAAATTAGTGTATATATCCTGACACAACGTATTGAGGACTTGGATTATAACTGTAATTAGCCAAACTCAATCCCATGCTAGCTAAGGAGGGGAGTAGGGGGAGCCTTTTTTACCATGCAAAAGAGAAAAATCAAACTGAAAGGGCCCTTGTTTCAATGTAAGAATAGACTTCTAAAAAATAGTGAAAGGCCCACAATTGAAATCACCCAAGTAATTCCAAAATAAGGAGTTGCAATGCTTTTGCACATCACAATTTTGGAAGAAGTTTTGCGTGTATACATGTAAGAGGACGAGGTACGTTGTCGACAATAAGGCAGTACACACTAAGGCCGACCTCTCTATGTTATTCTTTGCTCCTTACTTAGGCTCATAGCCATAACCTCTGCTGATGAATGTTTAGGCAATAGACAGATCCCGAGCTTTATACGTGTGGTTTGACAATGCTCAGAGACGTGACATATGCGTGTGCAGAAGCCGATATATCTATGCTCTTTAGACCTACCGCATGTTCCGCGGGAGTGTGTGACGCTTGGCGGCCTGTGATTAGAGGCGAGGCTCTCGTTGATCTCGCTGGTGAGAAGTGGCATTCCTGGTGGCAGCTGCAGTGCTACTCTAGCCCACAGTTACCTCATAACCTTGTGGATAGTGTGCCATGTGCCCATGGACGTGGTGTATAATCACGCAACGCGATCCGCCGGTTACGAGCGTGATAGGAAATGCTCTAAGGCCCCAGATCTGGATTATAGCACCTCTATGTTGCGATGAGGCATTCTCCATTGCTCCTTCTAGCTGGCATCTTAGTTAATAATAGGAGACTATGCGCGACTTATTGGAATATTCTTAAAGATCTTTACTCATCTAACAGTGCTTAAGAGTCGGACTTTCTTTCTTCCGTGGCTTTTAGGCCTTTGTGACTCTTGGATGTTTTTCATGCTACTTGGTGTATCCATTTTGATTCGCTTCCTTTGTGGTTAAATGCAGTTTACTATAAGGATGTGTGTGCGTTTATTTGTGTCGCACACTAATATGCGATATTCTATTAAGATATGTGGCAGTTAACACTATACTATACACTGCTTTACTTATCTATCATGTATCTCTAAAGAAATCTCGGTTTTGGGTTTTTCATTATGGTCTGTATACTGTTGCTTCTCTGATGAGTCGCAGAACACCATTGTCGCATGCGTGTACTGTTTTACAGTTAGTGTTATTATATATATTACCAGCTGTGTGGTTTTACAATTTGGTAGGTTTAGTATAAGTGTTGTTCCTCAATATATACAGTATTGCACCAAACTGGGAGAATTCTCCCGACCAGCGCACTTAGTTAGAGTTTAATTACCAGCTGTTTACAAATTCAATAGTAGTTGCCAAATAAGTCTTGGCACAAAAGAAATTCAAAACACTTTGGCAAATATCATTAAAATAAACAAATAGAATGCTAGAAGCCAAACACTTTATATATGGATAGGCAGTTCTGGAATCAGAGTACAATGGAAAGCTTTCAATGTTTTTATATTTTACTTGGGAATAAAGTGCAAAGCTGGGGGTGGACAGAGTGACAAGCGGTGGGGAAGGCCCTGGGTGGAATAATGAACCTCAGTGACCATGGTTTTGTCTCCCTCCAACCCACACTGTGTTTTGGTAGCTAGGCAGTCTCAGGCATACCACTGGTTTATATGCAAACAGGTTGACACTAGATTTGCTCTCAACAGACTGTGATACCCAGGCATATCCCAAGCTAGCCCCAAACTGTGCCTGTCCCAGCAACAGGACAACCTCTGAGGGCTCTCAAACACAAGAAACAGGAAAGCCAGGGATCACCATTACCACCTCGATCAGGGTGTCCTTGACAATTCGGGAAGGGACCCAAATTTTAATATTTAGAGTAATACAGATGCCCAGGAGTACTTCTGGTATTTTTAAGATGCTGTAGTGCAAATACAATGTATTTTGTATATGCTCTCACCTTCCCCACTAGTTCTGATTTTATGCTTTGTTCTGGGTGATTTCCTCAGACTTTAGCCTTTACCTTTCCTGACTGTCCATGCAAACTATGTCCTACTCTACTCTGCAGGGATTTTTCCAATGACCATGTTACTATATTTCTCATGTTTAGAATTTCTGGATACACGTGTACCTTCGTGCTTTTGTAAGTCTCTATCATGGCTTCTCTTCCTGTATTTGCTTTTTGACATGAAAACCTTTATTCCTTATTCTCGAATTCCATGATCACTTAACCGCTGCTATTTCTCCAGCTTGACTTCTCCATATGTTTTTAACCATTGCTGTAAACTCTGTTCTGTGAATATCATCTCCTTCCGTCATGTTTCTGATCTTTTTTGGGGATGTGAGGACCTCTTTTGGAGGGACTTTTATGGATGCTTCTGCTTGATCCCTTGTAGACCCCTTTGTTTGACTCAGTGTGTACACTTGTCATCATTCCAGTGTTTCATCAGTGATGGGGCTGTTTGGAGATCATTTCACATCTGCATGAAGTAAGCTTAGGGTTTCATTTCTTCATGGTCAAAAATGGTCAGAACTGGCTTCCTTCTGCCCACAGTCTGTACGCAGCAGATATCTTAGTCTATTTGGGCTACAATAACAAAATACCATTGCCTTGGTGGTTTATAAACAACAAAAGTTTATTTTTTATGGTTCTTGTTATTGTTTGGATATGAAGTATCCCCACCCCAAAAGGCTCCTGTGCTGAAGACATGGTGACCAGAGCAATGTTCAGAGGTGGGGCTTTGGGAAAGTGACATCATCATGACTCAATTAGTGGATGAATCCATTGATGGAGTCATAATCTGATGGCATTATTGGGAAGTGGTAGAAACCAGGAGGTGGAGCTTAATTGGAAGATGCAGGTCTCTGAGGGTGTGCCTTGGTAGGATGTGCCTTGTCCCTGGCCCCTCTCTCTGCATCCAGTCGCCAGGAGTGAATAACTTTCCTTGGCCACTCCCTTCTGCCTTACCACAGGCCCACAAACAATAGAGCCAGTCAATCACGGACTGAAATATCTGAAACTGAGAGCCAAAATAAATCTTTCCTCCTTTTAAGCTGTTTACTTGGGTATTTTGTCACAATAATGGAAAGTGATTAACACAGTTCTGGAGGCCAGGAAGGTCAAGATCAAGCCTCTGACAGGTCTGGTGTCTAGCAAGGGCCCATTTCCTGCTTTACAGAGTGGCACTTTCTTGCTGGGTCCTAATGTGGAGAAAGGAATAAATCAGCTCTCTTGAGGTCTCTTTAAGGAACCCTGATCTCATTCAAGAGTGCTCCACCCCCATGGCCTAATCACTTCTAAACAACCCTACACCCTAAACACATCACATTGGTGATGAGGTTTCTACTATAAATTTGGGGAGACTCACATTCAGATGATAACAGCAGGTATTGATTTTTCTTCTTCTCGTTCACAAATTTCAGAGGACATTTCTAGTTCTGTTGGAAGACATCCCCATCAGTATTTGCTACCTTTCTTCTTTTTGGTAACAGCCGTTCTAAGAGGCATAAGGTAATATCTCACCATGGATTTAACTTGCATTCCCTGATGGTAAATGAAATGGAGCGTTTCACACACCTGTTGGCCATTTGTATACATTCTTTTGAAAAACATCTAATCACACCCCTTGCCCATTTTTAAAACTGGGTTATTTCAAGTTTTTGCCGTGTAGTTGTTTGAGTTCCTTATAATATTTTAAATATTAAGCAATGCTCTCAGATGCATGGTTTGCAACTATTTTCTTCCAATACCTAGTTATCTCTTCACTCTGTTTACTGTTTCCTTTGCTAGGCAGAAGCTTTTTCACTCAATGTAATTCTACTTGTCTATCCTTGCTTTTGTTGCTTATGCTTCTGTGTGTGCGAGTGTGTATGTGTATGTGTGTATGTGTGTGTATCATATCCGAAAAACCTTTGCCCAGAGTAATGTCAAGAACCTTTCACCTAGCTTTCTTCCACTAGCTTTATAGTTTCAGGTCTTATGTTTAAGACTTTCATCCATCTTTAGTTGAATTTTGTGTATGGTGTGAGACAAGAGCCCAATTTCATTCTCCCGCATGTGGACATCCAGTCTTCCAAAAAAATGGTTTTTTTGAAGAGAAGGTTCCTACCCCAGTGTGTTCTTGCCAACTTTGTCAAATATCAATGATTATAAATGCATTGATTTGTTTCCATGATTATATTCTGTTCCATTGGTCTCTGTGTCTGTTTTTATACCCATGACATGCTGTTTTGATTACTACAGCTTTGAAGTATGTTTTTTGAAATCAGGTAATCTGATGCTTTCAGATGTGTACTTTTTGCTTAAGATTGCTTTATTTATTTGAGGAAATTTAACATGAGGGTGAAAGATCTTGCACTGAAAAACCTTTTTCTGCCAACCTACCTATCTATAATAAATTATAGGTATCTTTTTCAAAATAAATGTGTAGGAAACAATTTTCCATTAAATGCTTTTTATCTTTGTTTTACAGAAATTTTTTACCCAATAATTTTAGAGTTTATAGTTATGATGATGCAGGAATTATGAAACCTCTTAAAGAACAGCTTCCGGTATGTTTTTTGCTATCTGTTTTACCCTTGTGATATGATTTCCTATGATGAATAGTTCAGGGTCCACATGTTCATGGAGTACAAAGGGTTGGTATTAGATTTTTGGTTTGATATGAACTTAATCATTTCCTTTTGATGATGTGTAACTTCACCCTATCAAACAGATGGTTACCACACCAAGTAGGATTTGTCTCATGATGGCGTACATGTATGTGTTTATGTGCCTGTGGCACTTGAAGTGAAAAACCATGACTTGAATTATGGAAGCTAAATCTGGGGAAGAAAAGGAGAATCCAAAGTGTCCTCTGAAGTGTCCTCCAAGGACCAAATAAGTGCGCTTAAAGGTTCTGCATGCTTAGGGATATATTAAATTTTCAAATATCAGGAACACTCAGAGCTTTGTTTAATAATATCTGTAATTTTTGTAAAAAGTAATCAAGAAATGTGGGTAGAATTGCAGGGATTATCCCTGCCTGAAATTTTCTTTTCCTTATTGCTTTCCCTATGAGTTGCTAATTTTTTCCATCTGCATTCCCATCTTCTCTATGGTGAGTCAATTTTTGTAGAAGCTAAGATTTTAACAAGAAATAATAGATATAGTCCTTGCTTCAAATTTTGCCCAAGAGAGAAGGCAAGTACACATTAGTCAATGCAAGCATGTAAATAATACATGCTGTCAAGTGTGTGCATGTGGTGGGAGGGAGAAACAGAGAGATACACATAGGGCCACAATATCTCACACTTGAATTTTATGTTATTCTTCCATACCTAACTGCTTCTTGCCCCCAGAAGGTAAGTGTATAGTTGAAAAGACTAAGGAAAAAACTGGCATGGTGGTACATGCCTGTAATTTCAGTGCTGGGGAGGTTCAGACAGAAGGATGTGAGTTTGAAGCCAGTCTATACTACATAGTGAGACCCTGTCTCAAAAAAAAAAATAAAGACTAAACAAAGAATGCTTTATTACTAACCTGAATGTGGTTAGCTGTTGTATGTTGCCTTAAATACAATGAACACACAGTGTCACATAGGTAAATTGTGTTTTTGCCATTGCTACAGGCCTATTTCTAACCTAAGAAAATTCATTGAATTAGGTTAAAAACAGGTAAATTTATTGAATTATTTGTTTTTCATAAATTTCACAAATGATACTCATCTCTAAAATTCTTTTGGAAAATAAAGACATCTACTAATGGAAAAATCAGCCAGTCAGACTGCTCCCCAAAGCCCTGTATCCTGATTAGGATTTCAACAAATGAATTTTCAGGGAGCACAGACATCGAACCTCCAGCACAGGGAGTTTCTGTCTCCTGATTTTTTTCAATGACAGGTCATATGTCACCAGTGGTGCAGTAAGGAGGAATTGAGAGGAAGATTCTCAATTTCATCTCCCTGTCCTACTACCCCTTACCCTCCAGAGCAGCCCTTTGATCCCTCACATTCCTTAAATGAAAAGAATTTTGAAGTGATTCACAAAGCAGGAAGGAGAAAAGATTTTATTAGTCAACTACTGTAGGGAAAGCAGGGGATAGTGGTGTAAACACACCAAGAGCTTGAGGTTGTAGACACACTGGGGCTCTTCCCTTGAGGACTTTTATATGACCTAAAGTGGACCAGGGGAGTTTATCTTCTTCCCTCCAGATTAGCCTTTTCTTTGTGCCTGAATCATTTTGCTGGTGTCAAGTTTTGATGTTATCACCCAAGCATGGACACATTGGGTGATCTTAAAAATTCAAGGATCTTGTGACATGGGGGCTGTTTCTTACAGCTTTTATTGGCACTCTTGATCAAAAGATTTGCTGCCCTGGGTATTTTTAAGTTCTGGGCACATTACTCACCTGGGGCAGAGAAACAAACTCTTAGATATTCTACATAATTGAGAAAATGAGGAATACTGAGAAAAGGTGTGGTGCTTTGTTTATTTAGCACAATGTTTAATCTTGCAGTCTTGACAATCCTCCTTTAATCACATCTTGTGTTCTTGGAAATGATAAACTTGGGATTCGCAAAGACCAAGTCTCCTTAAAGATATATGTTTGAGATTTTGCCAGGTACTTTTATCATCTTTTTATCATCTTTCAGATGATACTTATTAGGGAAGAAAAAGCCCATCTTTAGGAGATATTTACTTTCCCTTAGCAAGGTCTCTTTTTAGTCCAAGGATGGGTTTTCTTAAGATATTTACCTGGAATGTGCTCATCAGAGCTCTGGGAAAATCATTAATGCAAGATTAAAAGCATAGTTAGTTGCTATAACCTAGTGGAAACTGCCAGTTACCTATTAATACAGAGCTTAGCCCTGGCTCTTACCTGACTTTGAATTTTTTTTCTCATACCCTAGATTTTAACTTACTTTTATTTTCATGCCTCCTGTCCCAGTGCTATCCTGTCTCAACACTTTCCTGTTTCTTTGCATGTCCTGTAATTTTTTTGTTGAAAATTAGATATTTGGATAATAACTATTCTGAATACTTTCTCCAACCTTCAGTGCTTATAATTTCTGTTTGCTTGATTATTTTAAATAACTGTGTTAAAGTCTGTGGTGTCACTTCTTGGGAAGATACAGCTCAGGGGATTCCCACAGTCACCCTGGAATAAAGTGGTTTGGTAGAGTTCTCCTCATTCCTTCTCATGACCTTTTCAACTCTGCTAACTGTTAACTGTTGTTTTGTGTTAGCCCTGCACTGGGGCACAACACTGTTCTATAACTAGCCAGCTTCTTGAAGGATGCATGGGAATCTATGAATCTCCTACCAATTGCCCCTTCCCACAACCTGCACCGTTTTTTGTTATTGTTGTTTGTTTGTTTGCTTGGTTTTTTTTATGTGTCTTTAAGCCTGAAATTCTCTATGTTAAGTTGCAAATAAAATCAGCCCATCCAGAGAGAGATTAGGTACTACTGTTTTGCAAACTCTTTCCCACCAGGTAACACCTTGAGCTAGGGCTGCAGAGCTGTGCACTTTCTATTTCATTCCCACAGGCTCCAGTTACTAAAGAGCCCGTACTTTCTATTATTGAAGGAGCTGGTCCAGTTGATATAGGTGTAGCCCTTCTAGCATATTCTTCATTCTCATCTTTGCTTCTCGAGTTTGCAACTGGAAGGGTTTCTGGAGCAAACGTTGGAACATTTCCAGGTTTGATGGGTAGGGCTAATTCTTTTCTTGTTGTCTTGATTCCTGATGGCAAATCCAAACTTGGACATCTTTATGGGCTTTGTGAGGCCATCTGCATCTTCTTCCTCAATTGATGACTTCTCAACACTGCAACTGGAACTCTTCCCCTCTGTTAGCAAGATCAACGGTCTTAGCTCTTACTGACTTGCTCAGCTTCTTCAGGTCCTGCACCAACTCTAGCTCCCTCAAGCTCTTCTGACTTCTCCTCTCTTGCTGCCCACCCACCATTTTCCCTGCCTCAGCCTCCCCCACAGCCATGCCCTATGTTCCATTTTAAAAGATGCTTTTGTCTCAACTTTCTTGCAAATTTGGTAGTTTTTTCTAGGTCTAATTTTTAAAGTTTTTAAAAATCTTGCCTTTAGCCATCTCCAATATGCACAAAACCATATTTAAAACGTATATTTGTTCTAGTTGACTTTTATACTCTATATTTCTCTGCTAAGTTTCCTAATTGACCCCCCCCCATACATACCATTATTGTTGCGGGAACAATGAAGGAAACAAAGTCACCAAGACCATTTTTTATAGGAAGTAGGGAGTTTTTTATGCTAGCAGACTCAGGGGAGATTATTTCTCAAAACCCTGAGCCCTGATCTGTGTCAGGGGCTTGGTTAAATACTCTTTAGGTGAGTTACACAACCAGGGAGTTTTGCAGTATATGGGTTACAGGTGGTCACAGCAAAAGAAGACAATTACAAAAAGCAGGTTGGTTACAGAGTTTGCCTCCTATACCCCCTTACTGTCCCCTTCCCTATAGTATGGAGTCACAGTTACAGGAAACATTGCAGAGCTAGCAGAAAACTGCTTGTAGACTCAGAGTGGGGAAACCAAGGTAATTTCCAGACACACAGTAAATCCCAGGAAAATGCCAAACTGACTCCAACATTATGACCAATTTTTCCCTATATGTTCTGACTATATTTTTAGAATGTGTTTTAAAGTCATTTTTACTAACTTCAAAATCCTGGGTTATTTCCGTTTCCGTTGTCTTTCAGATTTTTCTCTTGACTATACGCTACATTTCCCTTTTATTTAAATATCTAATATATTTTTAATCATATACAGGCCACATTCAGTGAATGCAAATCTTTCCCTAAAAAGTTTCAGTCTTATTTTAGCAGGTAAATAAGTTGACTGGAACCAGCTCCCAAACTCTGTTGCCCTGTGTTTGCAGACAGACAAATTCTCTTTTTTGTTTTTCAGCTTTTCTGGTCTTGGCTTCTGTCAGATTCATTGTGTTACCCACAAATTTTTGCACATACATCCCCCACTCAGTGTGTGAAGCCAAATATGAGGAGGTGAGCCAACAGCACAAGTTTACTCAGTGGCCAGAGAATGGAGAAGTGGTAGGCTCTGAGGAAATCATAGATAAATGGCAGTTCATGGTGACTGGTAGGTGTGGCCCTTACTCTGGAAATCAGATTATAATGAAGCCTGAGGTTGTTCCAAGGTCAGTCTGGCAGCTATCTTAGATCCACCACATTTTGGCTAGCCTACCTGAAGAGGAACTTCTGGCCTTTGGGCATCCTGTCCTCAAAGATTAGAGTGGGTAGAAATTCAGGTTGGTCACAGGAGTCACACTAGGTAATGCTCGGGGTCCCTTTCCTTTAGTCTTAGTATAGAAGTTGCCCCGGAGGTAATAACACACATTTCAGGGCTTTCTTCTGTGCCTCTTGCCTCTCCTGGACATTGGGCCTTGGGTTCCAGCACTTCTGAAACTGCGGCCTCCATCCTTAAACTAAAAGATTAGGTTTTCTGTTGTGCTATTAGCTGCTTGTGCTCCCCTATCTGGGGAGCCCACACAATAAAAATTTCAGCAAATGGGGTTGTCTTCTTTCTGGGGTTCAGTGCATTCTTTTCTTTTTCTCTCTGCCTTTATAGCTGAAGTTCAAAAAATATATTTTCTAGAGTTTATAGTTGGTATCTGTGAGAGGGTTAATCTACACAAGCTGTTCCACCATTACACTCAAAATACTCTTGAAAAAGTAATTTCTCTTTTGGATTTATTTTGTTTCTCTACCATGCATTACTAAGTCAGAAGAATATGAAAAAAAATGATTTTTCAGTGTTTTTTTTAACCTTATCCTAGTGATTGAGAAAGCCATATTTAATTGATAGCATATGAAAAATACAAAAATCTCCTAATAGTTTATGAACCTATAGGACAGAAAATTAAGCCATATGTTCATCTAATGGTCTTATAATTCCATCTTGGAAACAATGAGTATTTGGCGTGCACACACACAATTATTTTTTAAATATCCGAAAGTGGTATCTTTAATGTAAGCTAACTGCATTTCTTCTTTGTCTTTCAGAATTTTTGCTACTTCCAAGGATATATTGAAGGTTATCCAAATTCTATGGTGATCCTTAGCACATGTACTGGACTCAGGTTGTAATATACAATTGTATGGATTTCAAAATGGATTACTTACTTGGAAATTATTTTTTCCTAATGGCTCCTTTCCTCATACTGAATTAAGGTTGTTCTTATATTTGGAGACCATGGAATATTAATAGCTAGGCAAACACCAATCACAGCATTGTTCTGTGAGTTTGTCGAAACTTAGTGCCTTTCCCTACTTTACCAACTAAGACTGATAATGGTACCCGTACCTTTAAATTCAGTGGCACTTAACATATAAAATATAGTGGCATTTAATCTACTTTTTGAAAATGTATTATTTTATTTATATTCTTCCTTAACTTGTAGGGGCTTACTGCAGTTTGGAAATGTTACATATGGAATCGAACCCCTAGAGTCTTCGATTGGTTTTGAACACGTGATTTATCAAGTGAAAAATAAGAAAAAAGGTATTCCTTTATATGCTGAAAAGGATATTGAATCAAGAGCTCTGCCCTATAAAATACAAACTGTAAAGGTAGGTGATTCATTGAGTAAATCGTATGGCCACTACTGTCACCAAAATAAACACTGTTGTTTTCTGACAAATTATTTCTTTACCTATCCATATATACTCACACAGACACCCATGTGGATGCATGTACCAGAACGTTCACAGCTTACAAGCCTTAAACTAGTTTCAAATCTTTCCTGATATTTCTTCAGATTTCTATATTAGTTGTGATGTCCCACTTTCATTTCTGATTTTATTAACTTGCACATTTTCAATTGTTTGTGACCAGAATACCAAAATATACTTCAGTTGACACCTGGCTCTTGCAAACCCCATGTTGTAATTTTACCATTCTTAGGCCTTTTACCTAATTTCACTTGCATGCTTCTTTCTTTTCTCCTACTAGTTCCAGGATTCAAATTCTGAATATTTGTTATTTTCTCACTTGGAGTTATATCCTCATAAATCTAAAATCAATGATGTTAGTGCCTCATTTATCTATCATTTTATTCTTTCTAACATTTTGAATTACTTTTATTCTACAGTTCCCCCATTCTATAAACAAAATTATGAATCCTCCATACTAAAAGTAAAAATAAAGTAGAATCCTTTTTTCTTTTGGTGGCACCAGGGTTTGAACTCAGGGTCTCACGCTGCAAAGCAGGCACTCTACCACTTGAGCCACACCTCTAGACTCTCCTTTTCTCCATTTAGAAATTTCATATTACAAAAACTTACTTCCTGATATTCACTACAATACTGCTTCTCCAAAAATAACCAGTGGTGATGTGGTGTTAAATCAGCTACTTGAAATATTAGATGCATTTTTACAGAGTAAAATAAAAAAAAACTCCCCAGAATTTTGACTCATCTACTTCCCATGGTAGTATTCTCTCCTGCTTCTCACTGTCAGTCTGCCATTTTTAAAAAAATGAATTCACATTTTAAATATTGATATTTCTATGTTACATCTCAGCATTTATTTAGCTTATTGATGTTACTAATCTCATATTGGATATACTGATTGCCCAAGTAAAGGAGTACACACCCTTCTCTCAGATAGATAGATAGATAGATAGATAGATAGATGGATATCCATTTGCTGTCTATCTGCTATCTGTCTATCTACTGGCTACTCCCTGTTTATATCTATTGACTATGTAAGTATGTATATGTCTGTCTGTCTGTCTATCTACCTACATACCTACCTACCTACCTACCATATTTATGTTCCTCCTCACTCCCCAAATATTTATGCCAATGGTGTTTGATATCTTATGAATCTAAATCTTTAATCCATCTACACAACTGGACCAACCCAGTAGGACATCCTGAGATCTGTTTTGTAGCTCTCATTCTTTAGTACTTACTTAAACTAAGGCAGCCTATAGACTGCAGTTGGCATCATGTTTTTGTCACATGTCTAGGCACACTTATCCCTTCTATGGCTGTTTTCTCTTTCTAAATAACCTGGCTTTCAGAATCCATTGAAAGCTGGGATCTGCCCACCTTCCCGACTGACAGACTTCCTGGCATTCTCTTATGCCCTTGTATTAAATTTTTATTTATTTAACAAAAGTGGACTGATTTTTCTCCAAACAAGATTATTTCTCACTAAACAAATGAATGAGTTATTAAAGTGAGCATCACCAATCCCAATCTCAAAGATGAAAATGAGCAAGGTTTACTGCAGAGAATAGTAGACAAGTAACACTCCATGTTAGTTAGAACCAAGAAGTGGATTTGAATCCTCCAGTCCATTCAGATAGTGTTTCTCTCAGTAGCCTAAATCCAGTAAAGGACCCTAATGCTTACAGACTTCAACGAAACGATGGGGCCTTCCAAGCAAAGGGTTTCAACTTTTCCATGAAAGTCATGAAACATTTGGTGCCTAATGTTGGGTATAAATGAGAACTAGTTAGACCATAGGGGGATTTCATCTACCTTTTTAAAAACGAAATTCTTAAATATCTTAAGATTTGGGTCAGGAAAGAGAATTTTAAATTTGGGTAAAATGAGTGAACCATAAGCTCTGAATTTGTCTTGCTGACTTTTCTCAACTTTGTTTTCCCTTGAAGTTACTGCAACTATCACGTTTATATTAATAATCATTACAACAATGATACTTTATTCTTACTTTTCAGCATTGTCTAAGTCACAGAGAAGTTAAGCCAGATTTAAAGCTTCATAAAGCATGGCATTTGTGTCTAACTTAACCACTATGATCTGAGTGTCTGGCATCAGACCCCAGCACCCACCTTAAGATTCTGTGTTCTAGTTTAAGAAAATCCATCATTTGACTCTCTGTTACTTGCTTTTTTCTAAGGTGACTTATATAAGGATTAATTTTATACTTTAGATGAAATTTGATCTCCTAAACTCAAGGATGTCCCATTACTCTTTCGGGATCATGTACAAAATCATACCACAAATAACATAATCAGACCATGGTTAAGCTAATAGAATTGCATTTAGGACCAATGAGAATATGGAGAAAAGCAGGTAGAGAAGACAGTTATTTCCAAGTAAATCAAATGGCTGATTAGGCATAGAGAAGAGGCAAAGGAAATAGCTGAAAAGGAGGCTGTGACAACTGGCTTTGCTCATAATATCTGGTTCTCCTTCTGTAGGTAAGATCATATTTTCAACATTAAGGGCTTTAATAGTAGTGGTAAATACTGAAGATATTTAAGTAATTCTTCAACTACTCTGATATAAAGCTTGTGGATTCTTTTCAGTTGAAAGAGTTCTCTCACTACGTAGAGATGCATATTATAGTTGAAAAAAAGTTGGTAAGTATATTCTGATTTATTTGTCTTATGCCACTTTTTATTAGTTTTTTATTATAAGAGTAATTTTCCTGTGTTCCTTGAATGAGTTTGAGGAGAATTACTAATTACTATGCATTAGCCATGTTTTAATCCATTTTAAAGTATTTGTATCAGTATGAAATTGGGAATCAATTTTTAAACAATTTTATTGTTAATTTTATAAATAATAATAATAGTGAAAATAAATGGTTCCTTTATAATAGTTTGTAGTTATTCTAACATAGAAACTTGTTGGATATATTCTAGCACTTTTCTAAACTTTGAAAATAATGACTGATATTACTTACTGAGTGAAAGAGAAAGTAAAGCTCTTCATTCATAATATCTATGGTCAGTCGGCAGGGAAGCAATGGTTTGTGCTGGGGAAAAGGACATTATGTTTCCTGAAGGCTATTTCTTGAAGGATTTCCTCATGAATTAGAACTGCCTTTATTTGGAATTTAGAACTCCTAAAATAATTGCATTATTCTCTTTTTTCAAACTTTTATTTCTCTATTTTTAAAGTGCTCATGGAAAATATGTGAGATTTTCCTACGATATTTTAGAATTTCCTAAAGGAAATGCCTTGTGTCTTCACCGGTAATGAAGACACATTAATCATCAATATGAGTGTTTATTTCTGGACTGAATTCTGTCCACTGTCAGGGCATCAATTCTAAGTGGCTTGAAAATGCAGATTTAGGGGGTAAGGGGAAGAAATGACCCAAACATTGTATGCACATATGAATAAAAGAAAAAATTAAAAAAAAAAAAAGAAAATGCAGATTTACAGTCAGCTTTGAAATCAGGAAGTCTAAATCTTTACCTATGTCTGAACCGGGCTGTCTTGTTAATGTTCAGTTGTAAGTGTTCTTTCTTTATTCTAGAAACCAGACCCTTACTGGATATATGATTTGCAAATATTTTTAGCCACTCTTCAGGTTTTCCATTTTCTTGATAATGTTATTGGAAGCATACAGTTTTTCATTTTGGAAGCATATCTATCTTTCTCTACTTAATCTTATCTCTTCAAATATCATTCGACCATCATTTGTACCTAGTTTTGAGATGGGGACAATGAGTCCTTCAACCTTGTCTTTTTAAAAATTATTTTGAACATTCCTGGTTTTGTTAATTTTCAAAGAGATTTTAGAATAAACTTTTTGATTCCCCCACAAATGACAGCTGGAGTTTTGATAGGGATTATATTGCCTACATAGATCAGTTTGGAAATTATTGCCAGCTAAATAGTATTAAATTTTACAATCCATGAACACAGGAGGACTTTCTATTGCTTTGATGCCTTTTATTTCAACAATGCTACAGTTTTCAGCATCTTGAACATCTTTGTTAAACTTATTTCTCATTATTGTTATTGTTATTGTTATTCAATTGTAAATGAGGTGTTTCCTTCATGTAATTTGTGGATTGCTTGTGGCTGATATGTGAAGTACAGTTGATTTTTGTGTCTGCTGTTATATCCTATACTCGTTCTGACAGTTTTTAGCAGGTTTCTTAGAATTGCTTATTGACAGAGTGACTTCTTCATTTCCTGAATGAGCGAATACTGTTTATTTTACATGAGTAACCACCTTGGCACGAACCTTGAGAGACAGGTGGAACTGATGCAATAACAAGTATCCTGATTTCTCCAGATCTAAGGGAGACACCATTCATTCCTTCACTAATAAGTACGATGCAATCAGTTTTTCATAGAGGCCCATATCAGATTGAGGAAATTCCCGGCTGTCGCTAGTTTATGGAGTGTTTTTGTCATGAATGGGTGTGGATTTTGTCAAATGCTTGATACATTTCTATTGACAGGATCATATGGTTTTAGTCCTTTATTCTATAATAAGTTGTATTATATTGATTGGTTTTCAGATGCCAAACCAATTTTGTGTTCATTTATTTATGGTGTTATAGTCCTTTTTCTGCACTGTGTAATTTGGATTGTTAGTGCTTTGCTTGGGATTTTTGCATTTATACTCATGAGACATGCTACTTTGGACTTTTATTTTCTTCTGATGTCCTTTCTGACCTCATTGAATGAGTTGGAAAGTGCTTCTTACTATTTTCTAGAAGAATTTGTGAACAACTGGTGTTAGGTCTTCACATGTCTGATAAAACTCACTAATGAAGTAAACTGGAATCAGTGGTTTCTTTAAAATAATTTTTAAAATTTCTTTTCAGTCTTTTTGTTATATTTTGACTTTCTTCGAGTCGGGTTTATTTGTGTTTTTCAAGAAGCCATCCATCTCATCTAAGTTACTCAATTTTTTCAAGACAATTGTGCACAGTGTTCCTGTGCCATCTTCATGGTTTCTTACTTAGGTCAGAAGTTATGCCCCTCTTCATCTTCAAATTAGCAATTCTCTTTTGTTCTTGTCAGTTATTTCCATCTTTTCAAACAACTAACTTGGTTGATTATCTGTGCTGTTTTTCTATCTTTATTTCAATAATTTTTGCTTTGATGTTTATTATTTTTCCCTATCTCCTTTCTTTGGGAAAGGACATCTAGTTTGCTCTAACACCAACTTCAAGTGGCAGGTTAGGACAATGATTCGAGATGTTTTCTTTTCAAAATATTGCTCTTTCCTGCAATAAATTCAGCTGAGCAGTGCTGTGGCTGAATACCATAAATTCTGTTATGCTGCAATTTGACTAACATACCATTCTAAGTCCCTGTGCGTTCTTCTTTGATCATTTGTTAAATATATCTTACATGTTACAGATTTCCCAAATTTCTCTTCATTCTATTTTATTCTTGTATCCTATTATTGATTATGTGCAAGATTTAATTAAGTCAATTATTAAATTTTCTCTTTCTCCCTTCAATCCTGTCACTTTTTACTTTATGTAATTTTCTGGCTCTGTTCTTGGATGCATGTATAATTGTAATTTTATATCGTCCTAGTAAACAATCCAGCTCTTTTCCTCATTGCCTTCTTTTTCGTCTCCTTAATTAAGTCAGACGATCTTGATGTTTGCTTGGATTATTTAATACAGACATTATTTATATGTTTATATTTATGTCTGCACTTTGATTTGTTCTCTTTTAGAACTATTTTATTCTCATTAATTTTTTCCTATTATCATAAGAGGAAATTTTCTAGCTATTAATTTATCTTTTTATTTGAAGATAATTATAAATTCACATGCAGTTGCAAGAATAGATAGAGGTCCTAAAAACTCTTTAAACAATATGTCCAATGACACAATATGACAGCCAGGATACTGGAAATGATGCAGTCAAAATACATAATTCCATCATAAAAATAAAAATTAAAAATAATAATAATAATTCCATCATAAGACTCTGTTGTATTGCTTTTTATAGGCACACTCTCCTCTCATATCCCTCCTTCCCCTGACCTCTGTTCTCCATTTCTATACTGTTTTATCCCAAAAGGTTATATAAATAGAGTCATTCAATGTGTAATATTTTGGCAGTTTTTTTCCACATATCCATTCTGGAAGCTTTCATAGCCTTAAGTACTTCATAAACAAAATTTAAGTCAATCCGTCTTCTCTCAGTGCCAGCTTCTCTTCCTTTCAGAGAATGATGTAGTCCGTCTGAGTGTTCTAGGATTGCGAGTGAATTCTGTTGCCCTATTGGTTTATGATTCACACTTATTACATCTGCCTAATCTTTTACCTCTCAGCCATTCTTCAGTTTCCAAATTTTGCCTTTTTTTCCTTTCATGCATTATTTTGTTCTTATGACCCTTAATCCATCTATTGATACTTTTGTAATTGCTTTAGGCAGACATGACTTAGGTGCTATCTTTTCTGATTTTCATCTTTGCAATGTAGGTATTCACTTTAAATCTAATAGTTGAAAGCTGACTTTTTTCTCAGTAACTCTTACCATTAGTTTAGCAATACTGGACTTACACCTTTTTTGTAGTCTTTAAATTTTTTTTATATTTCCCACTTTTACCCTGAATATGTATTATAATTTATATAATAACAAAATAATGTTGATTTAAAAACTAACATGTTAGTAATTTTAAGTTTCTTACTTTATTAAATTTTAAACAGAAGAATAACAGTCATTAGCTGTTAGGCAATTTATATATATAAATTATATATAATAATTGTAATTATATATAATTATATTTTAATATTATATAAATAATATATAATTATATAATGATTATATTATATATTAATTATATATAATTATACAATTTATATATAATAATATATAATTATATGATTATTTTATATATTAATTATCTATAATTATATAATTTATATGTATAAATAAATCTAAAAGGCAATTATATTTTACAGTATGAACATATGGGTTCTGATACGGCTATTGTCACTCAGAAAATCTTCCAGCTGATTGGATTGACGAATGCTGTAAGTGTCCGCTTTTTTAATACTTTTGCACTTGCCTTTCTTACTGAAGCAATTCTTGTACCTTCTTTTATGACATTACTTGAAGAAACATGTGATATAGGGAAATTTCAGTTTTATTTCACTTTGAGTTTTACTGCCTGTAAATATGATTAATGATGATCTTATATACCTAGTTAGGTTATTGCCAGGATTGAATTAAATGCAATACTTGTCATGGGGCTTGCTCACATGCAAACATTTTTGAGTATTGAATATTACTTATATAATTAGTAGCTCTTGTCACCTATTAATATACTTCTAAAGATCCAGACCATACTTACAGATCATGCTTAATGTGCCATGAGGTAATTTTCTTATTGTTTTTTTTAATTGTTGTACTGGGGGTACATTGTGACATTTATAAAAGTTCTTACAATGTATTATAGTTGAATTCACCCCCTCTATCATTCTTCTTTATCCCTCCTCCCCCCATTCCTGGAATAGTTTCACAGGTCTCATTTTTCCATTTTCATACATGAGTACTTAATATTTCCACCATAGTCACCCTCCCACACCCTTTCCTTATATCCTCCCCCCTGGCACTAGTACCTTCCACCCTGACAAGACCTGTTTCTGCCTTCCACTTTTTTGTAAAAAAAAAACAAAGATTTTTGATTGTTTAGACAGCTATACAGGGAGTTGCATTGTGACATTCCCTGTGTATCACGAGTTCATTTTCATAGCTAGGTTGTCAAATCCATTTGGATCATGCTGCTTGAACATGTTTTCTCTGTATGTTCCTTTGTAGATTTTTTCTTCCTTTAATCTTACAATAATTCTGTCTTCAATGGAATTTTGGATAGATGAAAACAAAATTTCAACTGCTGGAGATGCTAATGCGTTATTGTACAGATTTCTAAGATGGAAAAGATCTTATCTTGTTTTGCGTCCACACGATATGGCCTTTTTACTTGTGTAAGCATACTTTGGCATTACTAACGCATATACAAAGAAAACATTAATTTGACCCTCTTTTTTTTTTTTCTTCTTTTCTGTGGTACTGGGAGTGGAACCCAGGGCTTGCCCCACAAGCATTGTACCACTTGACCCAATTCCTAATGATTGCAGACTTTTAGGGGAAAAAAGTCTTCTGTCATTTTTTTTGACATACAAAACCATGTGAGTATTATTTTTCATGACACCATATTTATGGCAGAATTACTGATATCCATCACTGTATTTATTGGTTTGTAGTTAAAGCTCACTCTTCATCATCCCTTACAGTGTGCACCACATGCTCTATACATCAGATATCAGCAGCATCTATTCAAAGAGGCATATCTGAGCCAGTGGCTCATGCCTGTAAACCCTAGCTACTTGGAGAACTGAGATTGGGAGGATTATGGTTCAAGGCCAGCCTGGGCAAATAGTCATGAGACCCCCATCTTCAAAATAACCAGAGCAAAATGGACTAAAGGTGTGACTCAAATAGTAGAGTGAAGTCCTGAGTTCAAAGTCCTCTCCTACCAAAAAAAAAAAAAGGCATATCTGAACCCTACAAATATAGGAATTTAGCCTTCTTCTTTTCATTGTGATAAATTTTTTAAATGACCAAGAAATGGAACACTATTAAACATTTCAATATAACACAAACATAATGTAGCCACACTGTGCTGAAGTTTTTAGAATATAAACCTCCCCTTTTATTTAATAAGCTCTTTTTCTCTTATGAATAATGCACATATTACAAATTGTACATATAATTTTTAAATTTTAGTATTTTTCTTATTTTCTATCCAATACATTTGCCATAACTTCATCCTCTGACAAGCTAACTATACCTGATGAAGGAATTCAGTCCCTAGGGAGACTGTCCCTTTGGCAGGTACACTGCCTTAACGTCCTCATTTTAAAGAATTCCGTTTATTTGTGTCATATTTATTCTGGGAGATTTCTTCATTTCAGTCTAACACAGACTGACTCTTCATTATGTTCTAGAAAACCACATGAAAATGCACGTCTTGCTATTTATTTTTAAATCTATTTTCTCAGAAACATTAGGCACATCCCAAGCTGTGTTACATGAATAACGGTAGTGGACATAATATTTTTGAGTTCAATATCAATGTTGTCTTATGAAAACCGAGCAGTAGTTCTGCTTACTTTTGCAAAATTCTGTGATGATGACCCACTTTTAAATTTCAGTTACGGAGAAACAGTAAATTACATCGGTGCCACCGTTCAAGGGAAGATGTGCGATAAGAACTACGCAGGAGTTGTCGCTGTGGTATGGCATGTTTTAATTTCTTGATTAAAATATATAGTGGAGGCTGGTGGAGTGGCTCAAGCAGTAGAGCACCTGCCTAGCAAGTGTCGTGAGGCCCTGAGTTCAAACCCAAGTGACGCCAAATATATATATATATATATATATATATATATATTAGAATGCTGTATGGGAATTAAAGACTTCCTTACTTCATTATTTCTATGCATATTTAAATTTGCATGATTCTAGGGCTCTCTGCCCCTATTGCTGATAAAAATGTTTAAACTTTAAGAGGTCCTCATTGAATTGACTCCATATAAAAACTTCACCATGTTCCTGTCATGAGTCCAACATATCCTTTTTAGGAAGTTATTAAGGACGTGATCTCTTTGGGTCATATTACACAATGTCAATATGATGCACTTATTTTAATTTTAAGCTCAAATTTTGTACATTTTCTCAGTTATGTAGTTCACACAGCTGTGAACTCATCTAAAAATAACACACTGGAAACTAGTTAAGTTTTAAATTTTAAATTTTAAATCACCTTAAAATGCTTCATAGGACATAGGTAAAGAATCCACCCTGATGGATGTGATTTACCTCAGTAGAAAGTCTCAGGGTGTTTGAAAATGGTATGTTTGGCCACCATTTCGTAAGGCTGTGGCAGGGCTGGTGGAGTGGCTCAAGCAGTAAGAGCATCTGCCTAGTAAACATGAGGCCCTGAGTGCAAATCCTAGTGCTGCCAAAAAAGTAAAAAAACAATCGATGACCACATAAGGCTGTGGTGTTCTCACAAATAGAACTTGGATTTTTTGTTTTATTTTTTGTGTGTTTGTACATTGTTTTGCTGGAGTTTGAGAAATGAAGTAAAGTGAAGATACAAAGAGCTGAATCAGTCAAATGGAGACAGCGATTCATCTTGAAAATTCATAAGTCATGGTTTAGAGTTTGTGGCAAGTCATTTACCTAGGCTCAGAAGGTGGAATTTAACCAACTTCCTCAAACAGTCACAAACAACTCCAAACAAGACTTTAACAGGGATCCAAACCTCCCCTGGCTTCCTAGTGAGGAAGCCATCTGAAGGCAGTTGGCTACCAAGGGGCGGTGTAGGGCTGGTGGGCAGAGAGCCGTCAGGCCCTGTAGTAAGAGAAGCAACTGAAGAATGGCTCTTCTGGTATTTTCTCATTCCTCACACATCTTTGGGATAACCATTGCCTAATCTTTCACTGGAAAAGTCAGCGGTAGCTACTAACTTCAGGAATGAAAAGCTGAAGATAACAGCTAGAGCTCTGTCCTGTGGTGCTCAGACACCCACCTCCTCCGTCTCTCTGTCACCCCTGGGGCTGTGCAGAGCTGTCCAGGGATTATAGCCTTTATGTACTTCTGCACCTAAAAGACTATATACAAAACCCCAGCCCGACTAGCTTTTGGTTAAGTAGAAACGAGAAAATAATCAGTGTGTGATTTTTAAGTTTTTTCAAAACATCTAACTGACAGGAATTATATATATTCAGTCTACAGCATGCTAATTTGACATTATGCATAGATATTGTATAATAGATACCATAATCAAATTAATGAACACATCCATCACCCAACATTGTTACCTTATGTTTGTGCTTGTGTGTGTGCTGAGGACAATTCGGATGGCTCTCAAGAAGTTGAAGTAAACAACACTATATTATTTTCCTATTGTATTTCCATATATTAACAAAAGCACATAGACACAGAGATTGGAATGCAGCTTACACACACAAAAATAAAAATTTACAGCTACTCAAAAAAGAAAGATAAAAGACTTCTGTTTAAATCGACAGAAACATATCAGAGTTTATATGCTGAAAAACTACACAGTACCAATGAAAGATGTGCACAAAGACTTAAGGGAATGGAAAACCACACCATGCTGGTGAGCTGTAAAGATTCAATATATGAGAGATGTCAGTTCTTCCAAAATGGAGACAAATGCTTAATGGAATTGCTATCAAATTTCTCAGATATTAAAATTTTTTATTTTATTTTTGAATTAGCATACACTACTAATACAGGGGGCATGGCTCTTTGTGCTATTTCTGCACCATTTTCTTCCCATGTTTTTTCTCTCCCCCACTTTTCAAACAGTGTTTGGTGGGTTCCATTATGCTATTTTCCTGTGCATACCCACAGTGTGCTTCCATCCTCTTCACCCCTGAGAATTCTTTCCTTTCCTCCTCTTGCTGTTCCCCCAGACACAGTTCCCCTTTTACACTATTTTACATAATAATATGCCATTGCCATTTGTCATTATCGTCATCACCATTTTAGGTCTAGGTTCCACAATTGAATAAGAACATATGGGATATTTGACTTTTTGAGCTTGGTTTAGCTCACTCTAATGATGATCTCCAGTTCCATCCGTGTTTGGCAAATGACATAATTTCATTTTTCTTTATGGCTGAGCAATATTCCATGGTGTGTGTGTGTGTGTGTACCATATTTATTTTCATTCTCCACTCATCAGATATTGGGCGCCTTGGCTGATTCTGCAGTTTAGCTATTATGAACAGAGCTCCAATAAACATGGGGATGCAGGTATCTCTCTTATTTATTGATTTACACTCCTTCAGATATGTGTGCAAGAGTGATATGGCGGGGTCATGAGGTCTACTTGTAGTTTTTTGAGGAGCCTCCACACTGATTTCCAGAGCAGTTGCACTGGCTTGCATTCCACCAGCAATCGCAAACATGGATTTCATTCGAACCATTGACAGATCTCTGCTGTTATTTTCAGTTTCTCCTCTTGTCTTTCTATTTTCTTTTTTTGTTGTCGACCCGCTGACTCTGTTACTGTTTCCTTCTTCTTTTCCAATTTTTTACTCTGTTTTTCCACTTCCGCCTTCAGTCTCTTGTACTTGTCTGTTCTGTAAACCAGGACCCATGTTAGACCCTCAGCAAGCAGTGCCTGGCACACCAAGATAAAAACAACGAGCAGAGTGTCTGCAAACATGGTGCTCATCTTCTCCCTCCGTCCCTGCGCTCCCACCCACCAGGGGGAAAGCGCTTAGGAGACAGAGAAAGAGAACTGAAACTATTTCCCTAGACTCTGCGACCACCAAGTAGTACACGGACTTTGACAAGCTGGAGACCACACTTCCAGGGTAATTGTTTCTTTTGATGTGCAGAAACTTAAGTTGATACAGTTCATCTGTCAATTCTTGGACAATTAGAGTCGTATTCAGAAAATGATTACCTGCTCCTATGTCTTCCAGAGTTTTCCCATAGCAGTTTCAAAGTTTCAGAGCTTATATTAACTTCTTTGATCCATTTGGAGTTGATCTGTGTACAGGGTGAGAGATAGGGACCTAGTTTCAGTCGTCTGCATGAGCTAGCCAGTTTTCTTAGCACCATTTGTTGAAGATGCTGTCTTTTCTGCAGTGTATGTTTTTGGCACCTTTGTCAAAGATCAAATGGATACAGCTGGGTGGATTTATTTCTGGCTCCTCTATTTTGTTCCATTGCTCTTCATGTCTGTTTTTGTCCCAGGACCACGCTGTTTTTGTTACTGTGGCTGTGTAGTATAATTTGAAGTTTGGTATTGTGAAACCTCCACTGTTGCTTTTTTTGCTCATGATTACTTTTGCTATTGGGGGTCTCTCATGCTTTCATATGAATTTTAGGACCAATTTTTCTATTTCTGCAAGGAATAAATGACACTGGGATTCTGATGGGCATGACACTATTATTGACTACAGTTCTCAAATTGCTCCTTACATCCCTAGAATTTATTTTGTAACTGAAAGGTTGTACCCTTGAACTAACACGCTCCCTGTTCCCAGCCCCTAGCAATCACAGTTCTATACTCTACCTGTAGAGTTTGACTGTTGTGAATTTCATGTGGTTTCTTTCACATGCTCAGCAGATGTTTTTTTTTCAGCCTGCGTGTCTTTGTTTTATTTTATTTATTTTTTAAATTTTATTATTCATATGTGCATACAAGGCTTGGGTCATTTCTCCTCCCTGCCCCCACCCCCTCCCTTACCACCTACTCCATCCCCTCCCTCTCCCCCCCACCCCCTCAATACCTGGCAGAAACTATTTTGCCCTTATCTCTAATTTTGTTGAAGAGAGAGTATAAGCAATAATAGGAAGGACCAAGGGTTTTTGCTGGTTGAGATAAGGATAGCTATACAGGGCATTGACTCACATTGATTTCCTGTGCATGTGTGTTACCTTCTAGGTTAATTCTTTTTGATCTAACCTTTTCTCTAGTTCCTGGTCCCCTTCTCCTATTGGCCTCAGTGGCTTTAAAGTTTCTGCTTTAGTTCCTTTGCATTGAGGACACCAAATGCTATCTTGTTTTTTTTTGGGGGGGGGTGTTCTTACCTATCCTCATACCTCCCTTGTGATGCAGGCACTTTTTAACATGGTCTTGTGCCACCAAATGAGTCATCCGCTCACATGTTGGCACAAGGTCAGAGTTCACTTTTCACAGTTTTCTTGTTTGTCATGAAACTCATAACATGAAAAGTCATGTCAACACGATGACACTCTGTGACCAACATAATGGACACCTCTAATCTGTTTTACTATGTGACTATTTTTAGAAATTACATTTTTCTACCAGTAAGTAAGATGCCTCCACAGCGTGTTCATTTATGTTTATGGGCTTTTTTTTTTCAGCACCCCAAAGCTATAAGTCTGGAGTCATTTGCGACTATTTTAGCTCAGTTACTGAGCCTCAGTATGGGGATTGCCTACGATGACATCGACACCTGCCAGTGCCCTGAATCCATCTGCATAATGAACCCAGATGCAATGTAAGAGGCTTGACTTTTATACTTCATATAGACAGTCTATATCAAGGCAAAGTTGATATATTTACTTTAAGAAAATTTAACCCATGGGCTGAGCTTGGTAGTGTACACCTATATTCCCAGCTACCTAGGAGGTGGAGATAGAAAGATCAAGGCTCAAGGCCAGCCTTCATCTGCTGCACTAATATTTCTTAATCACGTCACACCAATGGCCTCAATAGGGATTCCCTAAAACTGGTTGGTAGAGAGAGAAAAACCTCAATCTTCTTTCAGTATGCTAGTTGTAGCGTGGTTTTTAAAAGTCCTTATGTATTACTATCTGATTAGACTTAGATCTAAAGACAGTGGGGACAGGAAATGTCCCAGTAAGCATGCTTGCAGACAATGCATTTGACTTTCCTCCTTGCATGAGAAATGGACAGAGATTAGGATTGATAAAGATTTCTTTGCTATGACAATTGACTTAGATATTTGGTCAAGGACCTACATGTTGTAAAAATGGACACTTAGGGGCAAGGAGGTGTGGGGAAGAGGTACGTGACTTTATTTAGAATGGTTACAAAGTGCAGTTGGCATTCTGTATGAAGAGGTTCTGCACCCACAGATTCAACCAACCCTGGATCAAAACAAATTGAAAACATTGCATCCGTATTAAGCAAGCACAGACTTCTCCTAGTCACTATGTCCTAAATAACACGGTGCGACAACTATTTATATAACATTTACATTGTTTTAGCTATTACAAATCATCCACAGATGGCTTAAAGACTAGGGGAGGACGTACATAACTCAATCCAAATAACACACCATGTTGTGTAGGTCACCTGTGCATCTGAGGATTTGGGTATCCATGGGGTCCTGGAATCAACCCCCTCACGGGCACTGAGGGACACTGAGGGACAACTGAGGGAAACATGCAGTTGTTTCTGTCTTATTGTCAGATCTCACCAGAAGGTGTTTACTTTGGAAGAAGTAAAGATCTGGTCAACATTTTGATCCACGAATGCCTATCAGCTTCTTCCCCAGTCTGCCCATAAAACAAACCCTAAACTGACCAGTGAAGGACAAGTCTGATAGATGTCTTGCACACTTCTCTGAGGCCCAATTGCTATCACAAGAAAACACACTTATGATGACTTTTCTTCCTCCTCCTCTCTCTCTCTCTTCATCCTTTCTCCATTATTCCTGCGTCCTAGAATCACCACCCCAAAAAATTTCCTGAAATCATATTCAAGCTTAAGATTTTTTCCTGGTTGATCCAGACAAAGACAAGATGATATTTTATCTAGTTTGTGGCAATAAACATTAAATTATATTTATTTTTGACCAAAATGTAGTTATTGTTTTTTTGTGTGAGTAGGGGTACATTTTGTGGCATTTACAAAGGTTCTCCACCACTCCTTTATCCCTTCCCTCCCCCATTCCTGAAATAATTTTAATAGGTATTTTTTTCATTTACATACATGTGTACACAGTATTTGCACCATATTCACCCTCCAACATCCTTTCCTCACTGCCTTACCCTTCCTATTGGTATCAACCTCCCCAGGCAGGACCTGTTCTGCCCTCCTGTTCTCTGATTTTGTAAAAGAGAGAAAAAATATGATGTTTTTGCTTGTTTAAGTTAGCTGTACAGGAAGCCAGGCACTGGTGGGGCACGCCTATAATCCTAGCTACTCAAGAGGCAGAGATCAGGAGGATCACAGTTTGAAGCCAGCTCAGGCAAATGGTTTTCGGGGCCCTATCTCAAAAATACCTAATACAAAAAGGGCGGGTGGAGTGGCTCAAGGCATCGGCCTTGAGTTCAAGCCCTAGTACCACAAAAAAAAAAACTTCTCGAGACCTATCTCAAAAATACTTAAACGGAAAGGGCTGATGGAGTGGCTCAAGGTGAAGGCCCTGTGTTTAAGCCCTGGTACCATTAAAAAAAAAAAAAAAAAAGACAGATAACTATACGGGAGTTCCTTGTGGCACTTCCATGTATGTATGTATGATAGCCCGATTCGATTCACCTCATCTATTTTTCTTCTTTCTACTTTAGTCCCTTTCTTATGGTTGTTTCAACCAGTTTAAAAATTCTGTATTCAGCCTCATATAGAAAATACATCAACCATATTCACTTTCTTAACTTCCTTCTTTTACCCTTCCCCTCTCATATGTGGCCTCTCCTAGTGCAACCTGTTTTCCACAACATTGCTGCGTTTGTGTCAGGTCTATACAAAATACAGTTTTTTACGGTGGTGATGGGGGTACCTTGCTTAGATGCTAATGGCAACGATGCAACAGTTACAAGGGTGAAATGATGGGAAGGATTAGAAGATCTTAAATAGAGATAACTCCTTGGGCCCTCTGTTCCCTCCTGAATGTTGTCAAGAAATTCTCTGTTGAATTTTGAGAACAAGCTATTTTGTTGGGATGGCTGATGAATTATTACCATTGTGCTTAGAATCCTTCAAAAGGTAGTGGTTCCACATTTGTTTTTCTCTGGAGAAATTACTAAGTACAAATAGTTTGATCTTTAGTGATCTTCTCTTGTAAGTCCTTTGGCTGGTTTCATTACCAGGATTATACTGGGATCATACAATTTCCTAAAAGAGATTTTGGCATATTGGTACTATTGCTTCCTAAATTGATTGATAGGGCTCACCAGTGCAGTCATCTGGTCTTTCATTTCTCTTTTTGGAAAGGTGTTCATTCATTTTTTTTAAAATATAGAGCTATTTCAATTTTGGTTATTTTATTTTTGTAATATTTGTCCACTTCATCACAATCAATTAATTTGTCGTGAAGTGTTTCATCTTCTTTTATTTCCCTTTAAAAACCAGTGGTATCTGTACAAGAAAGCCACATACGTGTTCAACTTAAACTCAGAGGTTCTCTTACCAAGGAAAATGGGGAAACAGACAAAATGAAAGCATCTAGCAGTATGTGTGATGATGGAAGCTGTAAAAAATTTCCCCAATCATTGCCTTGTATTACTGCCTAGCAACTATTCATTTCATTGTCAGAAGATCTCAGTCATTTTAAAGTTCTATTGCTTTTCTCCTTTTGCTTCCTGGTATTTAAATAGAAGTCATCTGAATTACTGGCAATTTATGAAAGATCCACTGTTCATGGCACATACAACCGAAGAGTATGTTCCACCATGATGTGACCACAAAAAATAATAATAATTCCAACTGCTGATTTGTTTAAAACCATTTGTCACAATCCTCATGCGAATAACATTTTTGTGTAATAATCCAAATGACCAGGGTTTCAGACCATCAAGTTTATTATCTTAAAACTCAAGAACTTCATGTTTGTCATTTCTGCTACCAAATTATAGACCATGGCGATCATAAACTTTTTACACAATGTTAATATCAGAATAATAAAAACCATAAACAACTTAAGAACGTGTAATGTACAGTCAATATGCTTCCTTTTCCTTGGTAGGCCCGACTCTTTCTTTATAAAAAATTGTTGATCTTTTACTCAATGCTAGTAAGAAAAAACAACTGAATGCCTTTTCACCTGGAGTTAAAAACTAGTAGGAGAAGATAATACACAATTATATTAGAACTATTCCAATCGATAAGTATATTTTTATTTTGTTGGAAATTTTTTTAGTGTAAGTGAATTGTACAAAGGGGTTTCGTTATGACATTTACCTAAATGCATATGATATCATATTCACTCCCTGTTACTCTCTTATTCCCTCTCTTTTTCCCTTCCCTTTTCATCTCCCTGGTAGTCCCCTTTTGCTTTCATGACCTCCTATCATGAGATAGAACTTGTGGTACTTGTCTTTGTGGGACTGGTTTGTTTGTTTTGTTTAACATGATGATCTCCAGTTCCATCCATTTTCCAGCAAACAACATAATTTTATTATTCTTTATAGCAAAGCTCCATTGTGTATGTATTCCACATTTTTGACCCATTCATCTGTTGATAAGCACCTACGCTGATTCCGTAACTTGGCTATTGTGACTAGTGCCACAATAAACATAGTGTGTAGGTGTCTCTATTGTATGTTGTCTTTAATTCCTTCGGCTATGTAACCAAGAGTTGTATAAGTGGTAGTTCTAGTTTTAGTTTTTTAAGAAAGTTCCACACTGATTTCCATAGTGACTAGATTCATTTATATTCCCACCATTAGTATACAAGGGTTCATTTTCCCCACATCCTTGCCAGCATTTGGTTTTGGTTTTGTTTTCTTGATGACTGGTATTCTGACTGGGATGAGATGGAGTTTCAGGGTTGTATTGATTTGCACTTCCTTTATGGCTATGGATGTTGTACTTTTTTCATTTATTTATTGGTCATTTGTAACTTCTTTTGAAAACTATCCGATCAAGCCATTGCTCATTAATTGATTGAATTATTTGTTCTTTTGATGTTTAACTTTTTAGTTTATATATATATATATAGTTTGGCCACAGGTTACACCTTCTAAAATAGTATGTTGTCCTTTGTAAGGGGCAGGTTTGGGACAAGGGCATCAAGAGTTTAGGACATTTAGGGTGCTTATGAGGTAGGTTCAAGAAGAAATATCAAGTGAAGAATGAGATATTTAACTGGAGCTTAGGTGATAAATTTGAGGTAAAGAGACAATTATCAGATGTAGGTGTTATTTAAAACCATAGAAGTAGATAAAATTACCTGTAACTGAAAATAAATAAAGGCAGTGGGGGTATAGCTCAGTGGTAGAGCATTTGCCTGGCATATGCAAGGCCTTGGGTTGAATCCTCAGGACCATAAAAGAAAAGGAAAATCCTGGTTATTTTTGTTAATACAGAGGGATTCCAACATCTAGAAATTATACAAGAAGAAAAAGAAGCAACAAATTAAATAAAGATGGAGTTATTTCTAAGGTAGAAGCTGAAACAAGAAAGCAGTGCCATGAGTAGGTGCAACATCAAAGCCGGGCACCAGTGGCTCATGTCTGTAATCCTAGCTACTTGGGAGGCTGAGGTCAGGAGGACCATGGTTCAAGACTATTCCCAACAAATAGTTCGCAAGACCCCATCTCCAAATTACCAGAACAAAATGGAGTGGAAGTTTGGCTTAAGTGGTAGAGTATCTGGCTTGTGAGCACAAAGCCCTGAGTTCAAAACCCTGACCCCACTAAAAAAAAGCCAGTAAAATTGTATTGATTAGGAACTTATTCCTGCTGAAAGATTTAATATATGCTCTTACGCAATTAATTTCCCATGCAGAGGTAATGAAAGTGTTTGATATTAGCAAAATTGAGCATTTGGTGTGTTGTGGAATGCTAATTAAACAGCTTTATTCTATGGATAGGATAGGCAGTTTATAGAAACTTCTGCAGTCTGAAGTTTGGTGTCTTTTTAGTCATTCCAGTGGTCTGAAGATCTTTAGTAACTGCAGCATGGGTGACTTTGCACAGTTTATTTCAAGTAAAAAGTCCCAATGTCTTCAAAATGAGCCACGCCTACAGTCATCTTACCAGCAGGTGGAGTTGTGTGGTAACGGCATTGTGGAAGGAAGAGAAGTCTGTGACTGTGGAAAGCCGGAGGTCAGTACTAATTTGGAAAAGATCATGCCTGGATTGAGTCAAAAATTATATGGACATTTAAGTGTGGTATGTCACTGTCCCTCTGTTATCACTCTCATTTTTCTAGAAAGGCCTTTAGGAAGGGACATGGAGACAGACTCAGAAGTGAACTTGTGGGTTGCTACATGGATTCACTCATCTGTACATTCTGCATACAGGCAATTTTAGTTTCTATTCTAGCTCTTTTGAAGCATGGTTGACAACTTAATAACTGTGTATATTTATGGCATACAAGTCGATGATTTGATACATGTATACCTTGCAAAATAGTCTCCACAATCAAGCTAATTAACTTGTCGGTAACTTCACAGTTAGCTTTCTTTCCTCCTTCCTTCCTTCCTTCCTTCCTTTCTTCCTTTCCCTCCTTCCTTCCTTCCTTCCTTCCTTTCCTTCCTTCCTTCCTTTCTTTCTTTCCCTCCTTCCTTCCTTCCTCCCTCCTTCTCTCCCTTTTTCCTTCTTGTTCTTTTTCTTTCTCTCCCTCTCTTTCTTCCTCTCTCCTTCCCTCTTTCTTTCTTCTCTCTCTTCTTCCTTCCCTCCATCCTTCCTCCCTCTCTTTCTCTTTTTTCTTTATTTCTTTCTTGCTTTCTTTCCCTCCCTCCCTTTTTCCCTCCCTCTCTCTTCTTTCTCTTTCCTTGCTCTCTTGAACTCTTTCTAGCATTCTCTCTCACTCCTTTCCTCCCTCCCTCTTTCTCTCCTGCTCCTCTCCCTCCCTCCCTTCTTCTTTTTCTTTCTCTCTTGTTCTCTTTTTTCTTTTTCTATCTTTCTTGCTTTCTCTCCCTCCCTCTCTTTCTCTTTCTGTTTCTTTTCTCTGCAAGAACAATTAGGATGTAAGTGATTGACAGATTCAAGTACTATAACTATAATCACGTTGTACACGTGAGCTTCCCAGAGCCTCTTCATCCTGCATAAGTGAACATTTGTACCCCGGACCCTCCTACAGTCATTGATGATCACCATTCTAATTTCTCAAGCAGTAATTTTCAAAGTCATTAATCCTAAAACTGAGTTGTCCAGGTTGCTGTCTTCCTACCATTTCTTTTTAACCTACAATCCTCTGCCACTCAGAAAGATAGATGTAAACTATCACTATAGAGTTAGAAAGCATGGGAGGAACATTTGTGGTTTTTTAATATTTTAATCCAGGACTGTATTTAAGTTTAAAAAGATTTGAAACACACAAAAAGCAATGCTAGTTTTTCGAAGCTACTGAGATCTTTAACAAAGTTGAGGGATTGGAAGGAGGTGGAAAGAGTAGAGATAAAGCAGATATAAAATGAAATGGCTGAGATTTTAAAATAGAGACAAATTGTAGGCTGGTGGAGTGTCTCCAATGACAGAGTGCTTGCCTTGCAAGCATGAAGCCCTGAGTTCAAATTCCAGGACTGCCCCCCTCCAAAAAAAATAAAGACAGATTGAAAGGAGACAGTGAACTATTGTGATATTCACAGGAAGTGATATGGCCCCAGAGACACCAGGAAGACATGAATGGAGTTCAGTATCCCCTATGCAGTGGCTGAGGTCACTCCTGGGTGACCTCCCCAACATAGAAATTATGTCTCTAGATACGTAAATAGTCAATACTCCCCATCACCATTGTGGTTTTGCTTGGTTTGGTTTGAGTGGAAGCATCTTGAAAATTTTCACTAAAATTTAATGTGGTGTATCTTAAATGTTATTAAATGTCATGTAGTTGAGTCCTGAACCATGGTGGCGGCTTTCTCCTCCGAAATTCCATATAGATAGCAATAGCAGTGACATTTGTTGGGCAGAATAACTGTGAAAAATACTGAAAATTTAGTGTGCCCTAGTGAGTGTCTTGCTATAAGTCATATTAAGACTACTGAAATCCATGATTTATTTTTGCACAACTTACTGGAAATTTTTTACAATTTACCCCATTTCAAATCCCTGGGAATTAAAAAAGTGTGTGTGTGTGTGTGTGTGTGTGTGTGTGTATGTGTGTGTAAATACATTGTCTTTCCAGGCTTCTCCTTTTCTTACTATTACTTTTATTAACCCTAATAATAGAATTTTAAAGCAGATCCACAGGGCATAGATGAATTTTATCATAAAATAGGGTGCAATGTGAATAAATATTAAGTTTCAGTCATATTCAAAAGCAATATCATTTTCTAGCCCTTCTTTAGAGACTTTTAAGTGAAGTAAACTTGTAATAGCCCATAAAATATTGAGACATTAAAATATAGTGGATTAAGAAGAACCAAGTAAGAACCAGTCATTACAGAAAAGGTTTAAGTCATAGCACTCCTATTTATTTTTCATGTCATATTTAACCATTTCTTTGTATACAAGAGACAGAGACCTCAATGTCTCAGCTATGATGGATCCTATAGTTTCAGAGAATGCTATTCATGTGGCCAAGCCTACTCTACAAATATAAAGAACACATGATCTAGCACATGCTCTAGTAGGTAATCAATAAATATCTGTTGGGTAAATAAGTAAGTGCATGCCAACATGGAAGGTAAGCATCTCTCTTCGTGTTCTGTAATATGTTGTCACCGTTAAAATGCCTATCCAATGTAAATTAAAGTTGAAGATAGTTGAGAGCATTCAATTCCTTTTCAGGAGTGTAATGCTATCCCTGCACAGTGCTGTGAAGGTAGCACCTGCACCCTGAAAGCTGGCTATGACTGTGCTGACGGACCGTGCTGTGAAAATTGTCATGTAAGACCTTTCTTAAAAAATTTCTTCATGACCCACACAATGAAAATTGTTACTGTTTGAAATGCTTATGTGTTCCCATTCCGTGTTATTCAGTATAATTTACTTCACCCCATCAGTTTAAGGAAAAAGGACGTGAATGTAGGGCCTCCACTGGGGAATGTGATGTCCCTGAGTACTGCAACGGCTCATCCAAATCATGTCAAGAAGACTTCTTTATCCATGATGGGCACCCGTGTGGAAAGAATCAGTGGGTCTGTATGGATGGAGAGTGTAGAAGTGGGGAGCTACAATGTGTGGACATGTTTGGAGAAGGTATTTTCTAATATTTCAATTTTTCACAGATGTACTTTTCTGGGTACTGAAAAGAAGTAGATGCTAAGCTTCCTCATAATCCAAATGATACAAATCAAATGAGAATGATAGTAAATATCACCCAAAGAACTATCATGAACAAATTAGGTCGATATTGAGTAACATTGCCAGGATCTTAAAGAATGAGAGAAAAATAGCATTGAGATCATGTCTATATATATATTCTATAGCAACACCATAAGTGAGCATTAGAACAACTATACATGCAAGAAAATGTTGCAAAATATGTAACTATTTGATTTACAGTCTGCAGAAAAGACGATGGATATGGGAAGAAGGGAGGAAATTTTTTTAATAGATCTTTGGGTGGTTAATGATGGTCTACCATGAATTGAAAACTGTGATTAACCATCATACTCTGTGTAGTAATATCTCAGTAAAAATGACTTAAAAATGGATAAGCCTCAGAGCAAAAGGGAGCCCAGGGCAGGGCTTCCACTTCTGCAGGGATGCTTAGCTTGATTTGGACAAAAGCTCCTAATTAGAAATGGCTATCAAAATTGGGCAAAATAATTTAAAATTTTATTTGAAAGTGTTGCAAAGCCCAAAGAAGTCAGACAAATATTTCATTCTTGTTCCTTGATGCAGTTGCTACTTTGAAAGTAACTGCTGAGGGAACAAGCAGGTAACAAAAACCTTACATATTCAAAGCTGTGTAGTTGACAAACTGAGCAGAACTTTCAGCAATCTTACATAGCTGGGAAGACAAAGACAGAAGTCCAGCTCTTGGTAAGGAAAATGAATTCTAATAAATGCCCCACATTGCAGTGGGGATCCACGAAAGACTTAGCCTTGGAAAAGCAGGGCCTGGAAGTAGACTGTGTCATGAAGTCTGACGTGGTCAGGCTCTGAGTTAGCATCCCTCCTGATTGCATCTGCTTCTGTCCTAAGTGCTGGCTGGAAGCCAACATGGAGCCTGTTTTGAGGTATATCACCAGCTTTAAAACAAAATTTTTTTTTGAGACCATGTAGCCTATCTGGCCTCAAACTCTCCATCCTCCTGCATCAGCCTTCTGATTGCTGGGATTCCAGGCATGACCCAGCCATTTGTATTATTTTTACTTGATGCCCAAATCACTGCATATTAAAAGAACAGAAACTGCAGACGTGAGGGACACAAGAAATGGATGCACAGGAAATCAGGATGGAAGGATGACAAGACCAGGGCATGAAAACCATCAATAAATACAGAGAAAAAAATTAAAAAAATCAAAAGTTGGGCATGATCCAAAAAGATGCTGTGAAATGTGTTACATGAGAATTTTAGAAATAGCACTAAAATTAAGAACTCAGCCAGATCTAGTCAATTCCTAGTGTAGATGCACACCAAAATGTCACATGGTGTGCAGGAAACACATATAATTTTAGCAGTCAATGTGAAAAGAAATAACTAAAATTTTAAAATAAAATTAAAACATGATTGGTGAGTTCTTAAAGCAGCTTAATCATACTGGGATAACATATCTGAAGAGTCAATTCGGGTCTGAAGAAACTATGTCCACTGAGGTATACAGAAAGCAAGGAAGGGTAAAAAGGGCATAAAATGGGGGGGTGGGGGTTGATAGTTCCACAGAAGAGAACTTACCTAGCATGGATGAAACCTTTGGGTTCAATCCCCAGCACTAAAAAAAATTAAAATTTAAAAACCTCATCAAAGATATGTTGGGTATATTGACAAGAGACATATCTATTAGAGAATGGGCAGAATAAGTATTTAAACAGGTGCTACATTTCAAAAACTGAGAAGGAACATTTTATTTCAATGCTACAGACCCAAAATAAAGAAAATAACTTTCAAGGGACCTGAGTGAAGTGACATTTAACCTTTTAACCTTTAAAGTAGTCAAGAAAAAAACTGACTTGATTGCCAGTCAGCAGGCTGGGGTCTTTTTCCTCTACATGGATGGAAGTTGCTTGTAGGTAAGAAGTTCTTTTGGTGTTGGTAGTCCCAAGCTCTTGAGGGCCCAGGGCTCAGGGCTGGACCGGCAGACACAGAGGCACAGATGCTTACAGCTCCTGGCCCTAAGAGCTAGAGGCCTTTTATTCCAGGAATTGAAAGCTGAAGATTTATGGACTCTCAGCATTTGGGCTGGAGGCTCATCACTCTAGGCCCTAACCGTCACACTTGGCAGCTGTTGCAATCCTCAGCTTCAGCAGCAATGAGCAGCAGCAGCAGGCAGCACCTGCTAGCGTGACAGCTCCTGAGTAGGCCTTGTGCGTTGGGACCCTCGGTTCACACAGTGGCGATTATTATAGCTCTCGGGACCCTTGATTTGTGGCTTTGGAGATCTCATGTTGTGTCATTTGTCTCCAGCATGGCAAGGCAATAATCAAACATCCCTGATGAAGGCTTTTGGCTTTGGCCTCCAACTAGGGTACACCTGATAGAGGTTATGAAACATAAACTGCTCTTTAAGTAGTTTGAGTCACATGGAAATTAAAACTAAGTAGCTTAGGAACATAGACTGAAGGTGGCAAAAGTAAATAATTGGTCAGTGGTTTGATTGAAAAGACGCTTATGCAAAAACAGTTTATTGACCTGTTAAAAATACCTTTCTTATGTGCTTACAAGTTTACTAAAATTACAAGTTAATCTGCATCCACAGATAACGCTGGGCTCTGCCTGTGGGTAATAGACGAGAGTCCATTCAGTTTTGTTTTGTTGGTGGGACTGGGGTTTAAACTCAGGCCTTCACACTTGCAAAGCAGGAGCTCCACTGCATGAGCTACACCTCCTGTCCATTTTGCTGTGGTTAATTTGGAGATGGGGTTTTGGGAACTCTCTGCACAGGCTGGCCTCAAACTGTGATTTTCCCAATCTCAGCCTCCCAAGTAGCTAGACTTACGGGCGTGAACCACCAGAGCCCAGAGGCCTTTCAGTTTTTACGTATTTCACTGAAGTGGTTTTTTGCAATCTTAAATCTAATATTCTTTAAATCTAGTTTTAATTTTCAGTTGTGTATTGTGATTTTATCTTGTGTAATACAGTTTAAACATTCCAGAATTTTGAACATGTTTATTTTAATTTATATTACTGCTTGTTTAATGTGACTATGGACACTTTTTTTCTAGCCTCATACTTTGGCACTGATGAATGTTATGAAGAACTGAATTCTAAAAAAGATGTATCTGGAAACTGTGGCATCACCAAATCAGGATACGTACAATGTGCACCTAAGTATGCTTCAACAAAATCTAACCTATGTTGCCTTCTCTTTAAAAATAGCCCCAGTCAATTCATTTTGTACACAAGCAAAATATCTCCTGACCATGAAGCAATGCCATGTTAAATCAGATAATCAGTGTCATAGGTGCAGAAATACACTGTGATTTCTGTCTCTCACATGTCCACACTATCTTTTGACACTTTACCACCAACAGTTTTATTTATACCAAGGTACACTGATTACCTATCACTCATCATTTCTCATTTTGCATACTGTCTCCTTAATTTTACAATGGACGGACGATCCTTTTCCATCTGGGAAGTAAAGCATAGTAATTAAGATCAGACTTCTTTCAAATCTTAACACCTAGCTGTGTGACCTTGGCACAAACGATATAAAGAATCCCCCTGTACCCTTGCATGCAGGTGCCACGTGCATTCTCTCTAAATTTATCGTCACCTAATTGGTCTTAGGCCTATTGTCTGGTTCTATTCTCTCATTATTCAAGAAAAAAAAACGAATGTGCTCTCATGAGTTAAAATTTAAAAAGCCTCACTTACAAAATACCTCCATGAAGTTCCCATCTTAAGGTTCAATTCTTGAGCAATTCTTCCCTTTCTAGTGACATTCCACTGCATTGCATGTGTAAGTGTGACATCGTGTGCACATTCTAGCTTATCACAATGCCTCCTGGCCAAAGACCACCAGGAACACACGGGCAGTTAAACACGCTGCATTCATGACTCACACTGAGCTGCAGACACACCTCAGAGCAAGCTGTGAGCCTCTGACCGCAGCAGCTCAGAGACTTAATGGAGGAGGAGGACTTGTGTTGGGTGACCTTTGGAGGGTGTCAGGAAGAGGATCTTTGCCCTAAAATGGATGTTTTCAAGAAGTGAGGGTAACTCTATGTATGATTACGTGTCTGACTAAGCTCCAACTATGAAGAAGAAAGGCAAGCAAAGCGAAGGCTGTAATTGATAGTGAAGCCACACTCAGGTTGGCTGAGCCATGGGTTGTTTGGTGATTGTGTGGGTTAGGCACATTCATGTCTTCTCTGTGTGTGTCCAGACGCGATCTGCGGGAGTATTTGTGTTGATCTTTCATGGTCACAGAGTGCCTTTGTTCCACCTTGATAATGGGCTGTGAAATTGCATGTGGTCAGCGGTGAGCACCATGAGTGCCCGGTAGCTTTGGCCAATTTCAATGCCTTCCTGGTAATTCCACGCCTTGACCTGCGTATCGGTGTTGGCTTTGATCATGGTCACTTCCCATTGTGAGCCAAAACATCAGGCCATAGGCGATTGCTCTGAGACATCTAGGTTGTCATGGTGGTTGAGGTGCTATTGATGACGAAGTTACTTTTCTTATGTATTTATTTACTTTTGTAGTGCTGAGTTTGAACCCTGGGCCTTACGCATGCTAGGCAAGCATTCTACCACTGAGCTGTATCTCCAGCCCAGGTGAGGAAGTTATTGAGACCACCTGGGCTGTCACTGGGCTGGGGGGAGCCGTTCCCCGTTGGTGCAGGATGGTTTGTCCTATCTTCTGAAGTTGCAGTGTCCATGTGCTGGCATTTAAAAGTACAAACAAAATGCGCAGGCCAAAAAAAAGTTATGGTATAGCATATACTGAAAGCAAACGCTCACATTGATCCATAGGATTAAATGCGTGCGTCCCAGTAGTCCTGCCATAAAAATATTTTAATTAATGTGACTTTGACCCTGGAACTCTTAAGTTTAAAATCAGTAGAGGGGGAACAGACGTTAAATTCATGCTTACCAAAGTTTTCACAGTTAAATTTGATTGATGTATTCAAAGAGTTTTTGTTGTCTGGAATTAGATAAAATGTCTCCATTTCTAGGTTCTCTCCTACAGCGTGTAAGCCACATGTCTTTGAGAGAACATTGCCCTTTGGGCTGAGTTACTTGTGTGTGAAGTAGCATTAATACTTTCCCTTCCTTCTTCACAGGCCCCTGGTGGGCTGTTGGAGTGGCTCAAGCAGTAGAGTACCTGCCTAGCAAGCAGTAGGCCCTGAGTTCAAACCCCAGTGCCACCAAAAAGAGAGAAAAAAAAGTTTCTATTCACATGATTTTTTAAAGAATTTCACTTTAATGTTGAACACCTGAAAACACTACACTATCAAGGGTCGTGCTCTTGTGACATTTCGATCATAGGTTTAGATTTCTTACCATTCCTTTGTATATTTTATTCTAAAGAACTATAGGTTTGCAGCTGCAAAAAAAAAAAAAGAGAAGTAACAGAGAAAATACGGATAGCCTGCCTGTGTCATTCAGCTGGTTTCCAAACGGTAACATCTGCCACGAGCTGGCATAATCTATAGGATTACGTGAAAACACAAGGCATTGGCACTGGTGAATTCACAGGCCCTTTTCAGATTCCATCAGTTCTAGTTGCATCCATGTCCATATACATAGGAAGAGGGTCAGTGAGCAGCCATCTCAACAGTGTTGTTTTCCAAGTGATAAATTTAGAATGCCTTTCAATTTATTTCACTCTTTTTCTCAGCCAGTTTACTAGCTTTCCGTGTTTAAGTGACAGAGTTCTTTTGTTGAATAGCTTCCTAAATATTTTTTTTTTGAAACAGGGTCTCAGCAAGTGGCCCAGACTGGCCATCAAACTTGCCATGGCCCTGCCTCAGACTCCTGAGTGCTGGGATTACAGGTTTGCAATCTTTAGGTGCAAAACCTAAATATTCTGTTTTTGAGGTTGTCATGAACACCAATGGCTTTCTAAACTTGTTTTCACTTTGTTTACTGCAGCTCTGTGATAATTATAATGAAAACACAAAATGCATTTTTATAGTCACTTTGATCTTTTATAGTGTGAACTTCCTGAACTCTGTGTGTGTGTGTGTGTGTGTGTGTGTGTCTTCTCAGCGTTTATGTCTTAGGGTCATGCCGTCATCTGAGCCTCAGTTTTTGGTTATGTATTCTGGTATGACTTTAACTTCTTTCTAAAGATTCTTAATCTCCATTAAAATGTTGAATTGTGAGTGAAGAAAGAGGACACCCTTGTTCCTTCCCAGTTTCGTGGGGAACACTCACTTGGTGACTATGGAGTTCACTGGTAATTGCAGGGCAGTGGTGGGTACTCTTTGCCCTTTATCTGAAAGACTTCCCTTCCAGCCCCAGTTCATTGGGATTTTCTAGTCTTGTATGGTGGCTTCATTTCTCTCAAATGCTTTTGATCCATATATTAACATGACTTCATGATTTTTGCCTTTAATCGATTGATATATAGTATATTACATCCATTGATTTTCAGATGTTAACTAACCAAGCGTGGGTCGTGTTCTCAGTATCCACTCTAAAATCCATGATTTTTAATTGGTTGTTTAGAATATTCCCATGAGCTACACTGTTGATACAGTTGTGTTCAGGTCTGTTTTCCTCAAATAACAGTAATAGTACACCTTAGATAACACTACCATGCTTCAGGTATAGCCTGGGTGTGTTGTGTCAGTGCCCCTATTCTTCCACCCAGTCCCTTGTGACATTTCTGCTGTTTTATTTATATAGATGATATAAACACCCAACACATTTTTATTGTTACTGCTTTGAGCAGATAGTCATCTTTTAGCTCAATGAAGAAAATAAGCCAGGCATTGTGGTTCACAGCTGTAATCCCAGCTACTTGAGAGGCAGAAATCATGAGGATTGCAATTGGATGACAGCCTGGGCAAAAAGTTAGTGAGATCTCATTTCAACAAGAACAAGCCGGGTATGGGGTGCATGCCTGGAATCCCAGCCATGCAGAAAGCACAGGTAGGAGGATTGAGGTCTGAGGCAGACCTAGGCAAAAAGCATGAGACCCTATCTGAAAAATAACTAAAGCAAAAAGGGCTGATGGAGTGGCTCAAGTGGAAGAGCACCTGCCTACCAAGCGTGAGGACCTGAGTTCAAACCTTGGTACTGCCTCCTGAGTAGCTAGGATTACAGATGTGAGCCACCAACAGCCAGCCCTTAATGACCTCCTCCGCGTGAGGAGTGGGGAGGTGGATATCTTTGTCCAGCCCTCCTGGACATTCCACAAGCTTCTGGGTGCTCGTTCTTTTCTGCAGGAACATCAGTCCTCAGTTTTATTATTGTCCTCTTGTAGCTCATGGGTTTTTTCTGGTTACTTTCATGATTTTCTCTGTGGCTTGCAGTGCTACCACTAGGATGTCCTGTAAGGTTTTATTTTAATGTGTGCGGTGTGTAATGCTTCTAGAATGCAGGTTGTCAGCTTGAAACCCACAATGGCAAGCTGGAAAGAAAACCCAAGAGCGCTGATAATTAGACAAATGGACTCATTTTTAAGAGAGAGAATTAGGTTTGGATTTGTCTGTGTTGTGGATCAAAAGAGACTGAAGGAATCTCACACACACATAATCAGGCTCACAGGGAGGCAGGAAACAATTAGGAAAATTGTTCAGTTATCATTAGCAATTCAGGCAAAGCCCTTGGTTTTTGTTTTGGGTTTTTTTGTTTGTTTCAAAATGAATTACATGCGACTTTTTGTCAACCCAAATATTTTATCTAAATCTATTTGCTATAGAAATGGTGTTCAGATATTGCTGTATTAAAATTAATCATTTTCATTTATGGGTAAATTACAGTGATTGGAAGTGTGGAAAATTGATATGTACATATGAAAGTGACAGTTTAATTACTAAAACATCTGCCACTACTATCTACGCCAACATAAGTGGGAAAATCTGCATTTCCCTGGAATACGACCAAAATGACAGGGACAAGGAGAAGATGTGGGTAAAAGAGGGCACTGTTTGTGACAAGAGAAAGGTAGGTCGTCTTCTTCCTAATAACTTTTGAGTGTCTCATACCGTGTTTTTCAACAACACTACTTAGTGTTTTCCCCACCATTGAAGCGTACAGTGAGCACAGATTTTGGAAAATCACTATGGATATTTAATTGACCATCTTGCACTTATGAAAGTGAAGGATATTCAGCGAATTGAGACTCACATGGCTCAAGCACTCTACTTTATTAAATTATCTCATGTGACACAGAGAGAACCGCTAACGTTGGGAAATATCTTTTGGCACAGTTATTCCCCCTCCCCATTTATTTTGGTGGACCTGAGGTTTGAACTCAGGCCCTCACACTTGCTAGACAGGCACTCTAGCACTTGAGCCTCACCCACAGCTGGCATATTTATTTATTTATTTATTTATTTATTTTTATTGTGCTAGGGGTACATTGGGACATTTACAAAAGTTCTTACAATATATCAAATATGTGATAGCTGAATTCACTCCCTTCATCGTTCTCCTTGATTCCCCCCCTCCCCATTCCTGGAACACTTTCAGCAGGTCTCATTTCTCCATTTACTTATATATGTACAAAATATTACCAGCATATTCACCCTCCAACACCCTTTCCCCACATCCTCCCCTTTCCCACTGGTACCAACCCACCAGACAGGACCTGTTCTGCCTTCCAGTTCTCTGATTTTGTAAAAAGAAAATGGGGTTTCACTGTGACATTTCCATGTATACATGCATTATAACCCAAATTGGTTCATCCCTCTATTTTCCTCCTTTCTACCTTAGGCCCCTTCTTCTGGTGATTTCAATAGGCTTAAAAATTTCATTCTTGTATAGAAAGCACATCAACCACATTCACCTTCTTAACTTCCTTTTACCCTCTCTCTCTCTCTCATGTCACCTCCCCTTTTGTAACCTATTTTTCATAATAGCTTGTATTTGAGTTGGGGTCTATATTCCACATATGAGAGAAAACCTCAGCATTATTACTTTAAATGGTGGTTCAAATGTATGTTCATTGCAGTCGTGAAAATAGCAAAGAATTCCCAGAGTAAAGCAAACATCAGTCCAAGTCACGGATCTGACAAATAATTACGCCTTCTGTTCCCACGAAGCCCCATCAGCACGGCATTTATGTATATACACATGCACACACATAGACTTAACTGTGTATTTTTGTCTAAACATCCCCTAATCTGCTTTTGCCATTTTATCATTCAATATGGTAAACATGGATATGTATTTACATTTTTTTCTTCCTGTACTTTCCTGTTTTGTGAAATATATAATACATTCATACACATATTACACAAGGAAGTCCAAGTTTGAATTAATTTCATGTCCAAACACCTGGGACAGCTGAACACCAGCGGCTCACACCTGTAATCCTAGCTACTTGGGAGGCTGAGATTGGGAGGATAGAGGTTCGAGGCCAGTCCCTGCAAATAGTTCCAAAGACCCCCATCTCCAAAATAACCAGAGCAGAATGGACTGGAGGTGTGGCTTATGAGGTAGAGCATCTGCTTTGCAAGTGTGAAGACCTGAGTTCAAATTCCAGTCCTACCAAAAATAAAACACTGGGTTTTTTCCCAAAGTGGAAATTTAAAACAGTGGTAAGATCTAGGCCAAGTGAGTTTTATTTACTTCTGAAAATTATCAAGAATGGAGAAAAGGAACTGGTTTCACATTGCTAAGACAAAAAGCATTTGTGAACTCACATAAAAGAATAAAATTGTGGGCTGGCAGAATGGCTCAAGTGGTAAAGTGCCTGCTTAGCAAGTGTGAGGCCCTGAGTTCAAGCCCCACTACCACCAAAAGAAAAGAACAATAAAGCGGGGAGGTGTGCACGAGCCACTCTGTCACACTGCCACAGCAATGAAGCAAGGGATGTGGTTACGGAGGACCCCAGCCATAATCACTGACAATGGCCAAAAGTGAATGGCATTTCCTGTGTCCCCTTCATTCGTTACTTTGCAAATAATAGATTTTTTTATTTAAAATATACTTTACAAAACTTCAGGTGTTGTAAAAAATATTTTCTCATTGTGAAATATAAATTTCTCATTATGAATAATTTGTCAGATAGTAGTTCAGATGTATTTTAAATGTTATGAAATCATTTGTGTCTGGATTGATCCATCTCATGTTTTATTACCTATTTATCCCTTTATTTTTAATTTTTATTTTAAAGTTGGGTTTTTTTGTTGGGGGCAGTACTGGGATTTGAACTCAGAATTACATATCTGCTAGGCAGGTGCTCTACCACTTGAGCCACACCTCCAGTCCTTTTTGCTCTAGTTATTTTGGAGATGGGGGTCTCACTTTTTTGCCCAGGTCAGACTAAACTATGATCCACCTCTTTTAGGCTTTCCACCATCACTGGGATGACAGGTGTGCACCCCCATGCTCTGTTTTTTCCACTGAGATGGGGTCTCACATACTATTTTTTTTTTTTTTTTTTTGGCCAGAGCTAACCTGGAACCTCGATTCTCCCGAGCTCAGCCTCCTGAGTAGCTTGGTGTGACAAGTACATGCCACTGCACTCAGGTTTTGGTTGAGATGGAGGTCTCATGGACTATATGCCTGGTCTGGCTTTGAACCATAATCCTCCCAATTTCACCTCCCAAGCAGCTAGGATTACAGGCGTGAGCCACAGTGCCCACCTTAAAGTTTTTATCATGTATACTTAAGGTGTACGACACATTGTGTGATATGCATGGGTGTCATGAGATGATTACCTGACTTAAGCAAGTTAACCTGTAAGAGTACCTAAATCTGCTCTCCTAGCAAATTTCTAATGTATAATATTCTGTTATCAGCTGTGGTCCTCGTGCTCTACCTCAGCTCTCTGGGTTTATCCATCCTTCCTAACTGCCAAGTTTAAGTATTTCTACCCATTTCCTCCTCCTCAACTCTGGTGGAAACCACTGCCCTGCTCCCCATTTCTTTGACTTTTTTGGTTTGGGTTTTTTGTATATTGAGACATCTCACTATGTAGCCCAGTCTGACCTCAAACTTATGATTCTTCCTTCCCCTGCCTCCCAAGTGCTGGGATTGCAGGCATTCACCAGCACTCCTGGCTTAACTAAGATGATCAGAAAATTGACTTCTTTTAGATTCCACACATAAGTCAGAATCATGCAGTATTTGTCTTTTGGAGCCTCCTCATTTCACTTAGCATAATGTCCTGTGGGTTTATCCGTGATATCAATGTCAGCATTTCCTTTTTGAGGCTGAGTAATATTCCATTTTATAGATGATGGAAGGGTAAATATCACAATTTTTTCCAAATAAAATATAACAGATGCTGTTTTTATCCAAAACAGTGTATTATACAGCTTAAATATATAAACTGTATGCTAAAAATTAAAGCTGAGGGGATTAACTGTGAATAAGACACAAGATCCATCGATGGACACTCGGGTCTTTCTGTATATTGCCTGTTGTGCTGTGATGAGTGACAGTTCATTTCTCCTGAGTTTATTTTCTGCAGAGGATTGCTGGGTCATAACAGTAATTGTGTTTTTAATGCTCTGAAGGAATCCACATAGTTTTTCATAAGTCAGTCAACTCACATTCCAACCGACAGAGAATAAGGGTTCCCTCCTCTCACCCTAGCCAGTCCTTACCTAGTCCTCCTTAGGATAACCATGCTAACAGAGGGAGGTGTGGCTCATGTGGTTTTGACTTGAAGTCCCCTGATAATTTGTTACATCGGCGACTTTCTCATATAACCTGTTTTCCATTTGCCTGTCTTCCTTGACAAATGTCTGCTCCCCTCCTCTGCCCGCTTTGTGTCAGGTTATTACATGTGCATTTTTCTTCAAGTTGAGCTCTTCACGTAGTATGGATACTGTACTCCAGCCAATATTCCTTTTGGCTGCCTTTTCATCTTGCTGCTGGCTTCCTTTGCAGTGTGGCGTTCTACCTTGAAATTCTTTATTTTTGCTTCTGGTGTTACATCCAAAAATTCATTGCCAAGGTCTCCCCCATGGAGCTTTCTGTGTGTGCCTTCTTCTAGAAGTTTTATAGTTTCCAGGTCTTACAGTTAGTTCTTTAATCCATGTGAGTTGGTTCTTGTGGGTGGTATAATAAAAGGACCAAGAATCATCATTTTTGAAGACACTACCCTTTCCTTATCCTGTCTTCTTCTTCTTTTTGTGAGACTGAGATTTGAACTCAGGGCTTCACACTTGCAGAACAGGTGCTTTACCACTGGAGCCATACCTCCAGTTCATTTTGCTCTGGCTATTTTGGAGATGGGGTCTTGCAAACTATTTGCTTGGGCTGGTCTCAAACCTTGATCCTCCCAATCTCAGCTTCCCAAGTGGCTAGGATTACAGGTGTGAACCACCATGCCCTGCCATGTCTTTTTGACAGCTTTAGTTGACCATATAAGCTTGGATTGATTTCTAGGCTCTCTAGTCTATGAATCTGCTGTTGTTGGTATTAATAAATGTTCTGATTTACCTTCTATCTTATCAATAATGGAAAAAATTTTAACGTGTTTATAATGCATAATTCAATATGCCGTTATAAAAGACATCCTTGGCTGATGTGGGGAGCAATGTCATTCTCATTGCATGAGATTAGTGATTTTACCACTTCTCTTGGTTTCTAAGGCACTGGCTATGATATGCAGACTGTTATGAGGTAAAATATGCCTAGGGAAGACATGTCACTTGGATCATTCGTAAGTTTACCGTTAAGGAACCTTAGTGCCTTCAGGTTGCCTTGCAGCCCTCACCACTGTGCACTTCCTGAAACTCATCACCCCAAAAGCAGCTCTGTGATGGTCACCAGTGACCCCTCCTCACAGACTCTCGTATCATCTTCACATTGTCTCGCCTCTGTGAATTTAAGTATTCTGGGTAGCTTCTATGGGATACAGGATATGTTCTTTTGTGTCCAGCTTATTTCACTTCACATTTCCTGGGCTCATCCATGTTGAAGCACGAATCAGAATTCCCTTTCTTATTAAGGGTGAATAATATTCCATTGCATTTTTATGCCACATTTTCTTGGCCAATTCATGGTGTTTCCTAGGTGAACTGGCCCTCATCTGTACAGAATGCCTTCCTTACCTCTTGTAACAGCATTTGGATTGAGGTCTTGTGTGAGGTAGCCTTATGTTTCTGGGACTAAATTTACCTGAGAAAAGCAATTTAAGGGAAGAAGAATTAATTTTGGGTCACCTGAATTAATGTGTTCATAGGGTTCAGCCCATCCTCACTTGGCTCCATATTTCTGGGCCTGTAGTGAAGCAGATCATGGAGGAGGGGTGTTCCACCTCATGGCAGAGAGGAAGGAGAAGGAGAGAAAGAGAGAGAGAGATTGTCTTCTTTTATACCATCTTGGTCCCCCCTTAATTAATCTTCTCTGGACATGCCCTCATAGACCCCCAAAGCTGTACTCTACTAATCTCCTAGGTCTATCTCAATCCATTCCAGATGTATTTCATCTGATATTCTTGCCATTCCGTCCTCTCTTTGTTGTTATTTGCATGGAACACATCTTTTCATTTTCAACCTAGATTTCAGCTTTCAATAGCAAGTTGGTTTCTTGCTGACAGTAGAGAGTTGGGCCATGACTGTTAATCCATTCTGTTGATCCATGGCACTAATTGGGGCATCTAATCCATTCACATTAATGTAGTCACTGACAGAGAAGAACTTGTTCCTGCCTATTTTGTTATTTGTTTCATTTTATTGCTCTTTTTTTTTTTTTGACTTTCACTTCCTTCACTGGTTCCTTCCTTTGTGTTTAATTGGTATTTTGTAATACCACGTTTTGAATCCCTTCTTTTCTTTCTTTTTGCGGTACTGGAGTTTGAACTCAGGGCCTTGAGCTTGCTAAGCAGGCACTCTATCACTTGAGTCATGTCCCCAGCCCTTTTTGCTTTAGCTATTTTTCACATAGGGTCTTACTTTTTTTGCCTGGTACTGGCCTCTTATCTATGCCTTCTGCATAGCTGGGGTGACAGGCACATGTCACCATGCCTGGCTTATTAGTTAATGCCCAGGAGGGCAGACCTCAAAATGCAATCCTCATGATTTCTGCCTCCCAAGTAGCTGGAATTCTAGGTGTACACCACCACACCCAACTCTTTCTTTATATGTTTTCTATAGATATTTTCTTTGCAGTTTAATGGGTATGAATTACTATTCCCCAAATTACAACAATAACCATCTATTTTGAATTCATATCAAAGTAACATCCATCACATAGAAAATCTCTGCTCCTTTACAGCTTTGCCCTGTACTCTTGCTTCTGATGTCAAAAATTACCTGTTAGGATAGTTTGGGTAGAGCACTTGCCAGGCACATGCAAGGCCCTAGGTTTGTTCCCCAGCACCACAGAAAAAATACATCATTGTATATAGTATACCCATTAACATAGATTTATAATTATTTATATGCATTTGTGTTTCACATTTCATAGAAAATAAAAATGGAGTTGTGTATAAAAGCTACAGTATAGGTTTTCTTAGTTGCTCATTTGTTTAATTCACAGCTCTCTAGGCCATCATATGACTTCTAGCTGAAGACTAACACTCTTTCATCTCATTCCAAGGACTCCCTTTAGTATTTCTTGTAGGCCAGGTATCATGGTAATAAGCATTTTTTTTATCATGTAATCAGATTTTTAAATTTTTAAATCTGGGAATGTCTTAATTTTCTTCTCCATTTTCAAAGGACAGCTTTACTGGATATAGAGTTTCAGTTGGAAGTTTCCCTTCTTTTTCTTTTTTCTTTTTTCCCTTTCTTCTTTCTTTCCTTCCTTTCTTTCTCCTTTCTTCCTTTTTCATCTCTCTCAGTATCTCCTACCTTCAAGCCTCAGGTGTTTCTGCTGAGAAATCTGCTGATAGTTTTATTCAGAATCCCTTTTATTTGACTACTTTTCACTTACTGCGTTCAAGATCCTTTTGTCTTTTAACAACCTGATTACGACATATCTCAATGTGAGTTTCTTCATGCTTACCTTATTTTGGTGTTCATGGAGTTCACAGGGTATCTTGTTCTTCAACTATGGCATGTTTTCAGCCATTATTTCCTCAAATATTTCTCTGCCCCTTTCCTTTCCCATATCCTTCAAGGACCCCACAAATATGTGTTTTAGTCTGCTTAATGATGCTGCCTATGTCCCTTAGGCTTTTTTCACTTTTGTTTTCAATTTCTGCTCCTCAGACTCATTAATTTCAAATATCTTATCTTCAAATTCATTGGTTCTTTCTTCTACCTCCCCAAACCTCTCTCCAGCCCATCTACTGAATCTTTCAATTCAGTCATTATATTTTTTAGAACCAGAATCTGTTGGGTTCCTTTTTATAATTTTGGTCTCTTTGCTGCTATTCTCATCTTGTTCCTATGTCAGTGCTCTGACTTCTTCAGATCCTTGTCCATAATTTCCCTGTAAGTCTTTGAGCACCTTAAGTACAGCTATTTTAAAATAAGTTTCTGTCACTTCATTTTCTTCCATTAAAAGGGGCTATGTTTTTTCTCTTTCTTTTTGTTCCTTGTACTTTTCTTTGTTTGAAAATCAGGCTTTTGAAAAAACTTCTCCCTCTCCCAGTGTTTGCAGACTGGCTCAGTATTGGAAAAGTTTTTGTTGCTGATGCATAATATTGTGCATATTGATGAATGCAGTGCAGTACTTTGAAATGTGAACACACTGTATTCTGATCAAATCAGAGTAGTTAGCATATCTATTACATTAAACATTGATCTTTTCTTCATAGAGCATTCAAAACTCTCTCTTCTAACAATCTAAAATTCAAGATGCATTGTTTTCAGCCATAATCACCCTACTCTGCAGTTGAGTACCAGAGCTAATTTCTCCTTTCCAACTGTAACATTGTGTCTGTGCAACCAATCTCTCTCCATTTCCGCCTCTCTCATATTGTCTCCAGGCTCTGATAACCACTTGTCTACTCTCAACTTCTATTTAGCTTTTCAGATTCACATATGATTGAGATCCTATTGTGTTTGTCCTTCTGTGCTGAGTGTATTTCACTTAACATAATGTCTTCAAGGCTCATCCATATTGTCACAAATGGAAAGACTGCATTTTTTCAATGGTTGAATACCATTGCATCTATCTATCATCTATCTATCTATCTATCTATCTATCTATCTATCTAACTGGATGATATGATACATACATTTTCTTTATCCATTCATCTGTCAATTTTAGTTGATTGATATTGATGTCTTTTTCTTTGTATGTATCCCCAGTAGTGAAATTGTTGGATCTTTTTTTGGGGGGTGGAGGGTTTGGAGTTTGAACTCAGGGTTTTGCAAAGCAGGTGCTCTACTGCTTGAGTCACACCTCTAATCTAATTTGTTCTGGTTATTTTGGAGATGAGGGTCTCACTGACTATCTTTTGCTCAGGCTGGCCTTGAACCATAATCCTCTGATCTCAGTCTCCCAAGTAACTAGGATTATAGGCATGAATCATCATTGCCTGGCAAATTGTTGGATTTTTTTTTAAGAACTTAACATTCCTTTTCCATGATGGCTGTACTAATTTATATTTACACAAGCAGTGATAAGAGTTCTTCTTTCTCCACATCCTTGTCAGTATTTGCTATTTGTCTTTTTGAGAATAGCCATGCTAACTGAGATGAAGTGATATTTCATTGTGGTTTTTATTTCAGTATAGTATGCAATGTGTTTAATTCAATGGCAAGTTTAGATAGCATAGAAGTTATCTTTTGGGTTATCCTTTTCAGGTTTGCAGGAATAAGGCATGTGTAGAAGATACATACTTGAATTATGACTGCACACCAGAAACTTGCAACAACCATGGTGTAAGTACTGGTACTATGAGGTGGGAACAGAAATCATTGAGACTAGCCTCAGGAAAGCTGAGGCTCTCTCTCCCCCATAAGACAGGGAAATCAGTCTTACCTGACCTAAGCCATTATTTTATGCTTCTACATGAATATATATAAATCTAGCTTCTTATCTTATAAGGTGATATTTTCCTGCTCCCAGGTATGCAATAACAAAAAGCACTGCCACTGCCAACCCACATATTTACCTCCAAATTGTGCAACCACAGATGATAAATGGCCTGGTGGGAGTATTGACAGTGGCAATCAACGATCAGATGCAGCCCCTAGTTCTGGTGAGTTATTCATAACAAATGAAAAACATAATTGAAACATCATTTTACCTTACTAGAGTTAATGAAGTAAACCATGTTTAATATACTGACTTATATTTAGACCATCTGTGGACATCAAATAATAAATCATGTATGGACATTGATGTTTTACTTCTGGAAGATGATATGTATGTGTAACATATAAGATATGTCAGGCAGGAAAATAGGAGACACTTGGGTCCTTCGAATAGAAGGAATGTGATATGAAGCATCAGGTGACACATAAAGATAGAAATGAGCAGCCATCAGAGATTGGCGAGGCCACCCAGATATCAACAATGGGAAACTACTCCCATGTCTTGGGGCTGAAAGAACAGTAAGCAGATGGAATATTACTAGAACCAGAACCTGAGCTCTATATAGCGTGACATCTCACCATGGTCAGACTGGATAGCAGGGTGTGGGCCTCCATCAGCTGGAAGTTTAAAGGCTTCTGTTGGCAATGCTGGAGAGGATGGAGGAGAAACACCACCAAAATTCTATCCACTGAGACCACTGACTTGACTAGAAGGCAGGGGTCAAGGAGTTTGAGAAATGTATTTCTCTGTGACATTGATGAAACCAAAGGCAAGGCAGAGATGGATTGTAGGGGAAGCTAACAGCTAACCAGCACATCCAACACCACTTGGGGTCAGAAGATTTCCTTCACACAAAAACATTAGTTGGCAGGTAATTAGAGCCTACTGTTTCAAATTTTAAGACAGAGGTGGTTTTTAGAATTTCCCCATTCATTCTAGTTTCTGGAAGCACTGTGTTTAATACTTCATGGGAATAGTCTGGTAAGTTTAAAACATTGTAAGATGCTAAAGGTATGATGGAGGTACTTCCATGTTAGTAGTAACCATTAGTTGCAATTAATTGCTTCAGCCCATGTGCACTTCTGCTTCCCAAGGAACAGTGAGAAGTACTTTTCAAGAGTCCAGTTTAGTCTTAGTGGTTATGAATCAAATGTGCAGCGTAGGTCTCAGGGTCTCCTCCCACAGAGTGGTGGCATAAGTCTGTGCTGCTAGCCATATGGGAGACATATGTAGGAAGATGGTGGCTGAAGCCAGGCCCCTGGGACAAAAATGCAAGACCTTATCAGCAAAATAACTCTGTCCAAAAAATTTATAAATGCAAAAATAAATGTTGAGGGCATGGTTAATAGCAAGCAAGTGGCACTGAGTTCAAACCCTAATACCTCAAAAAATTTACAGAAACAAGAAGGCTACTAAGAATTTTATATATTGGATACCACAGCAGGCTCATCAAAGTCCAACAAAGGGAATGCTTACGTCAAAAAGATGGGGGTTTAATAGAATAGATTTTTTATTTGATATACAGCAACTCACATTAAGGAATTGTATCAAGTCAGACTGAACATGACCAAGATAAGTACGTTTTTTTTTTTTTTTTTTGCTCCAATCCATTCCCAACAAGAAACAGGCTGATAAAGGCACCCTAATGGGTGTCTTTTCTTGTGGAAGAAGAAATGGAAGGGCCATTTCTTGTGGAAAGGGAGTCATTGACCAAAGGTAGAACCAAGAAGCCAGAACTGCCAGGACCTGTGGCTTTATGATTAAGAAAACCCAACACCAAAAATAAATAAACATCCACAAAACTGCAGGCCCAGAGGTCTTCTCAGGTGGACTGAAGAACATTTTTGCAAGGAAGAAATAACATTTTTAAAAAACAGTGGTGGGGCAATGCTTATCAGTTCATTGTATGAGGAAAACATAAGTCTGATGCCTAATTCAGATGGGCGAACAAAAAGAAAAATCACAAAACAGCATCTTTCATGAATGTGGATGCACAAATCCTCAACAAAATACTGGCTCATAGGATATAACTGCCTGTATTAAAAGGATATTGATCCAGACCCAGTGGAGTTAGCATCAGAAGGCAGGACTGTTTCATGATTCAAAAGTTTATCAGTCTGATTTACCATATCAACAAAATATGAGACCAAATGATACAATTGTCTCATTTGATTCAGGAAAAATCATATGACAAGTTTTAGTACTTATTCATGAACTTTTAAAAAATTTTTTGCAACAGGGTCTCACTTTGTAATCTACACTAGCCTGGAACTCCTGTACTTCCTACCTCAGCCTCTGGATGCTGGGATTACATGTGTGCTCATTCATGCCAGCCCATGAACAAACTAGTTTGTTCCCTGGCATTGGGAAAAAAAAAAACTCCCCCCAAAAGCAGCAAACTAAAAGAAGACAACCTCTTCAGTCTGATAAAGGGCATCATCAAAACAACTATTTATTTTCCCATAAAATTGGGAGTAAAGAAATAAAACCAACTCTCACCGTGTCTATTCAACATTTTATCATAGGTCCTAGCCCGTACATTCAGGAAAGAAAGGACAGAAAGATTAGAAAAGACGAAGAGAGGCTGACTGTTTGTACAGTTATGTACTTACTCAAAGTCAGCGGGAGCAATCAGAATACAAAAATCAGGTGTGTTGCTGTAGAGTTGCTTCAGTGAATAGAAACCAGCTTAAAATCAATACTGTCACAATATAAAATATTAGGAATAGATTTAACAAAAGATGAACAAGATCTTTATACTGAAAACTAAAACAAAAGTGCAGATGACTGTGTAATATCCAAAAAATGGGGAAATAAGACTTGTTTATTTATTTGAAAGGCTCATTGTTGCAAATATATCAATTTTCACCAAATTATAATCTAATGAATAATGCAAATTTATATGACCTATGTATTTTATAATCTAAAAATGGATTGGCTAAGTTTTAGATTTAATTAATCCTAAAATTTAAATATATAGGTTAAAATACCAATCATGGTAGCATGCAATTTTTAGAAATTAACAGTTTGATTCTACTGATTTTTGGGGGGGCATATTACAGGGGATTGAACTCAAGGCTTTACCCTTTTGAGGCAGGCACTCTACTGCTTTGAGCCACGCCCCTGGACCAACAGTTTGATTCTAAAATACAAACACGCTTAAATGAGCCAAACAACTGAAAAAAGAGCAACCCAGAAGGCTGGCTTGGTCCATTTGCCTTATATCGATTTTACTAAGTTGTTTTTTACATAGCATGGTACACTTTAGTATACAGTTGTGTTAACCAAGACAGAATGACACCTGTTAGACTGACAAGCACAGAGAGAGGCAAGGAGACAGCTTACCATCAGCACAAGTTTAGTCAGGAGAAGAAACCTGTGGAAGGAGGTCTCCAGAAAGAGAGCTAGAGCCCACCACCACTTACAGACTGGGGGTTTTATAGGAGAGGAAGGACCTGGTAAGGTGTGGGGGAATTTTTTCATTGTGGCTTGTACAGTGTCCGTTGCTAGGGTAGACAAGGAACTGGGTCTTGTGTTCTGGTACAGGTGCTAGGAAACAAGATGTTTCAGTCATGGGCCCATGGCAAAAATAGGAGCTGCTGGGGTACTCAAGGAGTTAGGCCTTCTGTTCTGGCACAGGTGCTGGGAAACAGGATGTCTTCCTTAGGGCCCTGACTCTGTAGGGTCAAGCAGAGTTTAAGATGAGTGATGTCAAGTTGAGACCTAACAGCATCAACAAAGAATAGATGCACAAATACATGAACAGAGTGGAACAGGAAGTTTAGATATATGTCTATTAAAACACAGCTAATCAATTTATCAATAAAAAATCAAAGATAATCAATAGGGAAGGAAAGTCAATCTAAAACAATCAACTGAAGCAATTAGATATGTTTATAAAACCAAATGAATCTCATTAACAACCTATATGAAATTGAAGACTGAGCTCTATATGGAAGCTAAAACTCTAAATCTTCTAGAAGCATGGAAATTTCTTCATGATCTCAGGATAAACAACAATTTCTAAGACAAGAGGTGAAGAAATACATCAGTTCAATTAAAGGCAATTTAGACTTAATCAAAATGAAGTGTACAGTATTGTTTACTAGAAATAAGAGTTTGAGAAAGAAGTCAATTCTTACAGGAATCACCCTGTATTCTTCCATCTCTATTATCAGATGGAGACTATCAGGAATAGAAGTTTCCCCAGGTGCCTGTGGCTCATACCTGTCATCCTAGCTACTTGGGAGGCTGAGATCTGGAGGATTGCAGTTTGAGGCCAGCCCAGGCAAATAGTTCCCAAGACCCTATCTCCAAAATAACCAGAGAAAAACGGAGTGGAGGTGTGATTCAAGCAGCAGAGTGCCTGCTTTGAAAGTGCGAAGCTCTAAATTCAAATCCCAGTCTCACCAAAAAAAAAAAAAAGCATAGAAGATCATCAGAAAAAGGCAAGGGATTGTTATGCATTAAAAGAATTTCTCTGGCATGCTGTTAAGTTATCTACTTCATATAAAAATGTGTTAATTGTAAAAGTACTAAATGGTTTGACATTTTTATTCTGGTTGTCATAGCAAAGTACAGAAGTATCTTTATTATACTCCCTATGATTACTGTCTAATCCCTAGCATTTTTCTCTCCTAGGAAGAAGTCAGTACACTGAGAATGTTTACCACTCCAAACCCAAGAGATGGCCGTTTTTCTTGATCATTCCTTTTTTCATTATTTTCTCTACACTGATCACGATGCTGGTGAAAGTTTATTTCCAAAGAAAAAACTGGAGCACTGACAAGTATTCAAGTGATGAGTACATTAATTTCACATTCAAGTTTTATTGCTTTTATAATTTGTTGACATAATAACTTTATAATAGCATCATGGTAGGTATAGCTAGAAATAATTCAGACTTAACTTTTGTCTTTTTATGTAAATTTAGTACATAATATATTAAGGAGTCATATAATGAATAGTCAACAGAAATAATTTTTTGGAAGGCAAGCAATTTTAGTCTCCTAAAAACTTGAACTCAACCTGCCTAGGAGACGTAGACAAATAGGACTGGATGCTAAAGGAGTAACACCAGAACTACTAAAACTGAAATTCTACTGTTCCTGAACCAGGAATTTTTTTTTCTTTTTTCTTTTTCCGCTTTAAGTGTTTGTTTGTCTTGTTCACTGTCTGATTGTCCACCATATCTTCCT